CGTCTGGACGTGTCCCCTCCCCGCCTGGAGTCCAGCAGACTGATTCCGAGAGTCGTCTTCGTCGCTCTGTCTCTCTCGCACCAACACGGGACGCGCCATGAGTGCGAGAGCGACGAAAGCGACTCTCGGAATCATTCTGCTGGACCCGTGACTGCCGTGACCAAAGGCGCGACCCGTGTGGGCAGGCGGCGCGGCCACGCACAGTGGGCCAGAAGCCGGTGGAGGCGGCCAAAACTCTAGACGCGTTTTGAGCTCCAGAGTCGCTAAATGGGACTCGAACCGAACGTGTGACCCCACCAATGGATTGCTCTCCGAACGAGGAATCCATTGGTGGGGTCACACGTTTGGTTCGAGTCCCATTTAGCGACTCTGGAGCTCAAAACGCGTCTAGAGTTTTGGCCGCCTCCACCGGTCTTCTGGCCCACTGTGCGGCCGGCCGGACGGGTGCCATATCCGAGCGACGGAAAGTAAAAGTAATGACGCACTGGCCGCGCCTCTGCGGCCTCTCGCGGTGCGGCGCGATGCGGTGTCTTCCCGTGTCTGGACCATCCGGACCATCCGCCGGCCGTCCTCCCCACCGCGCATTCTCACCACGGCAGCTTTTAGCATGGCCACTGTTGTACGGAGCGTACTGTACCATGGTTTTGACGCTCGCTCTGTCTCTCACGCACTCACGGCAGGCGCGGATGCAGGGGGGAGGGGGGAGGGGGCTTGCCTGAAAGGTAGGCAAAAACCTTACTTTGTCCCTGTAAGCAGCCCCCCCCCGGTCCACCTATGGATCCGCCACTGACTCGCGGGGCGTCCTGTGGGTGTGCGAGGGAGACAGAACAACGAAGTGGACTCTTCAGGACTCTTTGAAATAACTCCGCTGGTTTGTGCTCCCTTACAGTGAGCCAGAAGACCGGCGCCGGCGGCCAAAACTTTTATGTATTTTGCGCTCCAGAGTCACCAAACAGAACTCGAACCGAACGGTTGACCCCACCAACGGATTCCTCGTTCGGAGAGCAATCCATTGGTGGTGTCACACGTTCGATTCGAGTCCCATTTAGCGATTCTGGAGCCCAAAACGCGTCCGAGATTTTGACCGCCTCCACCGGTCTTCTGGCTCACTGTGCCCCTCCCTCTTCCTCCGCAAGGGATTTCGGGACGCTCCCGCTGGAAGTCGTATTTGGCGGCGTCCTACTTCGACCCGGCCCGGAACACGGCGGGTCACGCGGCACGCGGCAAGAGGCACGCGGGTGCGCCCGGTTGGGTCATTCGAGCGACGCAAGTGGATCGAGCATCGAGCCCCAGTGGGGGCCACTCGGCCGTCTCGGGCCGACAGACGCGGGGGACGCGACACGACGCGAGCAAGGCTCTCGGTCGGGATCACGGATTTCACTTCGGGAGTCCCGACGGACGGCCGACGTACAGTGGGCCGGAAGACCGGTGGAGGCGAGGCGGTCAAAATCCCGGACGCGTTTTGAGCTCCGGAGAAGCTGAGGCTCGAATCGAACGTGTGACCCCACCAATGGATTGCTCTCCGACCGAACGAGGAAACCATTATTGGTAGGGTCACACGCTCGGTTCGAGTCCCATTTAGCAAGTCCAGAGCTCAAAACGCGTGTAGAGTTTTGGCCGCCGGCCCACTGTGCGAAGAGTCCCGCCGCGGCCATGCCGGTGTGCCCCTGCCGCCTGCCTTTCTGCAGCCAACATCAATCCAACCCATTTCCGTTTTATACCCCGGTGACAGTTCAACAAAGACCCGTTCGCTGTGGAATCCCGTCGTGGAGGGCTCGGCCTCCGCCGCACAGTGGGCCTGAAGACCGGTGGAGGCGGTCAAAACTCTGGACGCGTTTTGAGCTCCAGAGTCGCTAAATGGGACTCGAACCGAACGTGTGACCCCATCAATGGATTCCTCGGTCGGAGAGCAATCCATTGGTGGGGTTACACGTTCGGTTCGAGGCCTGTTTAGCGACTCTGGAGCTCAAAACGCGTCTGGCCGCCTCCGCCAGTCTTCTGGCCCACTGTGCATCGCCAGGCATCGCCCCGAACTCCATGCCTGGAACCAGGGGTCGAGCCAGGGGCCCGCAGGGGCCTGGAACCGCTCTATCAGCCCGGGCGAGATCGAGGTTCCAACTGCCACTGTATGCCAACCCTCCCTGCCACCCACTGCAGACTGATTCCGAGAATCGTTTTCGTCGCTCTGTGTCCCTCGTGAGGGGCTTCCCGTGCAGGTGCTAGAGTGACAGAGCGACGAGAACGACTCTCGGAATCACTACTGCCGTCTGATTCCGAACACTGCTTCGTCGCTCTGTCTCTCTCGCACCCCTACGGTAGGGTTCTAAAAAAGCGTGAAAAATAAAATTTGGAAAAAAAACCATGAAAGAAAACGGTTTTTTCCGAAAAAAACGGAAAATTATTTTTGGGCCTGAAATGTTGTTTAAACGGGTGGCGCGAAGCTAAGGGGGGAGCGTAGTGGCGCGTTAGGTGGCAAAAAAACGGAGCTCACGTTTTTTATTTTTATTGTCATACCTGGGTGTTGATATTGACCTAACTAAGCTTGCCAGCATGTCAAATAAGCGCAAATAGCAAAAAAACACCAAAAAGTACCAAAATTAGGAAAAAAACATATTTTTCCGGAAAAATTGCTAAAATAAAAAGCCGAAAAAAACAGTTTTTTTCCGTTTTTTTCATGTTTTTTTTCCGGCTTTTAGAACCCTACCCTACGGACCGCCCCATGAGTGCGAGTGAGGCAGAGTGACGAAAGCAGTGTTCGGAATCAGCCTACTGGAGCTGACTGGAGCCCCTTAAAAGGCGGCAAAATGAGCGAAACGAAGACAAAGGCGGAGGGCGCCGGGACAATCCGGCGGATGGTCGCCTCGCCTCGCCTTTCCCCGGCGTTGCGTGCCGCCGTGCCGCCGTACCGCGATGACGCCGCCGTGGCGTTCGCGCACGCCGACAGTGGCGCTGCAGCCGGCGGGCCGGCAGCCACAGTTCCGGGTGGAGACAGTCCGCGTCGAGTCGAGGCGAGGCGTGTGATAGTGTGACCCAGATCGCCCAGATGAACGCTGCGTATGACTTGGGGACCAGTCCTGGAACGCCGCGGGCCGGAGGCAGAGGCCGCCGCGGATGCCCTGGCATGTCCTGCCCTGCAGACCGATCCCGAGAGTCGTTCTCGTCGCTCTGTCTCTCCCTCACCCGCCGGGCACGCCCCGCAGGAGTGCGAGAAAGACAGAGCGACGAAAACGACTCTCGGAATCAGTCTGCTGGCCCGGCATGTCCTGTGGCTCCTTGGCGGCCCCACCCCGCCGCCATTCCCCCTCTGAGTCACACTACGCACCTGCAATCGGGCAATTACGTCTCACGCCCGGAGCTAGTCCGAGCGACTCGCGAGTCGTCTACGGGATCTTCGGGTTCACTGAGAATGAAAAAGTCATGATCAATACTCAATTTTGGGTGAGGTATACTTTATCACCCAAATTTGGGCGAGGATTGTTTCCTCGCCCAAATTTGGGCGAGGAAGGCTTCCTCGCCCAAAATGGGTGAGGAAGGGTGTATCAGCTACCCATCTGGCCCCATAGTATTATGACCCAAATTTGGGTAAGGAAACCTTCCTCACCCAAATTGGGCGAGGAAACTTTCCTCACCCAAATTTGGGTGATAAAGAATTCCTCGCCCAAAATTTTAGTCATGATCATGACTCTTTCATTCTCAGTGTTGGGTCGGGTCGGTGACAGCGAGACGGCTGCCGGCTCGCCCAGCCCGGATCAGCAGCATCGCACCATCGCACAGTGGGCCAGACGACCGGTGGCGGCGGCCAAAATTCTAGACGCGTTTTGAGCTCCACAGTCGATAAACAGGACTCGATCGAAACGCATGACCCCACCAATAAATTGCTCTCCGAACGAGGAACCCACTGGAGGGGTCACACGATCGGTTCGAGTCCTGTTCAGTGACTCTGGAGCTCAAAACGCGTCTAGAGTTTTGGCCACCTGCGCCGGTATTCTGGCCCACTGTGCATCGTCTTGAACAGGGGATAAATGGCTGCCTCTGGAAACGAGACGCCGCGCCGTGCCGCCACCCGGATGCTCTCCTCGCTGAGATGCTCACCCTTTGCTTGTTCGGCGACACCTGTAGCGTAGTCATGCCACCGCCCTGACCCTGCCGCCGTGCCGTGCCGCGAGGCCCGCGCGTCCACGCCGCGCGCCCCGCCCCGCCTGCAGGCGGTTTCGTAACAAGCGTTTCCTTTCCATCGAGGAATGCCAGAGGACTCCTCTCGGAGCGGGTCGCGTCGGGTCGGGTCGAGTGGGCCGGGTCGGGTCGGGGAGTGGCCGGTGCCGGTCCGGCCCGGCCCGGCCCGCCGAAGACCCGCTGGATGCTACCGGCCGGCAGGCGACGCGACGCGACGCGCCACTCGCACAGTGGGCCAGAAGCCGGTGGAGGCGGCCAAAACTCTGGACGCGTTTTGAGCTCCAGAGTCGCTAAATGGGACTCGAACCGAACGTGTGACCCCACCAATGGATTCCTCGTTCGGAGAGCAATCCATTGGTGGGGTCACACGTTCGGTTCGAGACCCATTTAGCGACTCTGGAGCTCAAAACGCGTCTAGAGTTTTGGCCGCCTCCACCGGCTTCTGGCCCACTGTGACTCGCCGAAAGGGGAGGCGAGTCTCAAAGCGAAGAAGCTGAAGCCGAAGACGAACAAATTTCGTTTGCACTGTCGGCCACCTGATGTCGTTCAGTTCAGTTACTCAATGATCAGATGCCCGCCTCGCTCCGAGCCGAGCGCCCGACGAACGGCGGGTAGGCAGCACCGCAACACCGCGGCGCTCGGCGGGCCGGCCTATGCTTTTACCATTATCATTACGGGCTAGACCACCTGGCGAGCGCGGGCGCTACGCCATGACGTCATTTCGAAACGGCCGGGCTATGGGACGCGAAAGAAGAGATCTCTTCCACTTTCACACACGTTGAATCGGTTTGTGACCAGCTTTCAGGAAAGTCATCAATAGACGCGGATTAGTTGCATTATTTATTTTATGTTCACAGATTATTTTAAAATCCACAAAGTTCATGAGTGGTGTTCTGATTTACATTATGACTCCAGAGGTTTTTTTTTGTTTTGTTTTTTTGGTGTCTTTTAAGTACAATGACTAAATTCAGATATGATGTAACCTTTTAATAAGTTAAAAAATTAAAATCACTGGATGGTTTACAGGAAGTGAAACTCGAAATGAAACCACAGTAACAAAAGGTACGCAGCCCACTTATGACTCTAAAATGGTTGTCACACATGACGCTTTTGAACCATAAATAATATACTTAAGAGGTTTGAAATTTTTTTTACTAATTTTGTGTAATACTTATAAAAAATTTGCAATATTGAATAAAACACAGCTTGGCACTGCCTCCCCTTTGCCACTCATTTTCATCATACTAAATGAGCAAAACCATGGTAAGCATGATTGAAAAACGATTAAATGATAAAGGAGTTGACCATTTAGCATTCCAATGATTATCAGCTATCCCAAGACACATTTGACTACACTCTGGTCTAAGAGAAAATTGATTACCCTTTGTACAAATTATTTCTTCTGCACCAATATGGGGCAAATTCATACAAACAGTCCATACAATGAAGGTTTTGGTTATTTGAAAATAACCATTGTCAAATTCAAGCACGCAGATTGTTGTAAGTAAAATTTGTTTCTCTTTTTCACAGACACTAATCCTCTTGTTGCTCTTGAAGCTGCTTCAAGAGAAGCAGTCTCTGATTTTCAAGTTCATCTTCACTGAGTTCTCTTTCCTCTGACACCCGATCGGTAGTTTCTCCTTCTTCTTTAGGGGCATCCTGAAAAAAAGTTAAGATGTGGCAAAATAAATTGCAAGAACACAAAAGAAACAAATTTTCAATTATTTCCAATCATAAGATGTACCCACCTTAACAGCAGAAGGAGATTCAGGGGGATCCTTCTCAACGCTTACTTCAGGGGGGAACACAGTTGCATCAGAGACCACAGTGTCTTCTGCAGGAGGAGCAGTTTTACTTCTGGTGCCATCATCTGAGCCTGACCGGTGAGCTGAAGGCTGTAAACCATTTGAGAAAATTAAAAATGTGATCTTGGCAGGTTTCAGAGCAAGATAAAATATACAAATGATAATTCATTCATTACCGATCTACTTCTTCCTTTCCTCTTCTTGGCCTTCTTGCGTTTGGATCGTTTTGATGGATGTCTATCAGAACCTGAACTTGAATGACTTTCACTTCTAGAACGTGACCTCCTCTTTCGTTTTTTCCTCTTCCCATGTTCATCTTCTGTGTCAGATAACTAAAAGAAAAGATAATATTTCTTAGTTTGAGACATTTTGTCAATAGATAAAACAGAGATGGAGATAACAGCAAATCGTACTTACTGATCGAGATCTGGATCTGGAGTTTGATTTCTTTTTCTTTGATTTTGATTTTTTTGACTTTTTGGGCCGAATGTGATAATGAGCACAAGAATCTTCATTTTCATGTTGAAATTCCTTCAAACCATAAAATTACAATTAGCAGAGTGAGATGGACGTCTTCAGCACATTATTAATATTAGATTTACCTTATATATCCGAACACGCTCAGATTCAAGGGTGATTGCCTCAAATGCTTTGTCACCCTCAAATTTCAGGCGGGCCTCTTCCCAAGGAGTTTCATATGTTACATCCGTAGATTTGATCAGCTGCTTGAACGCAGCTTCAAGTTTCTTGAATTTCCTGGCCTCATCTTTTTGGCGCTGTGATTCTCTTGCCTCAGCCTACATCAACATACAAAACAATTTAAAGAAAGTTAAAATGAATAACAATATGTGAAATTTCTAAGAACAGATCAAATATCAAGGACAATCACCTTTTCAAGCAAAGCATTATATGTAAGTTTGACATTGCCTGCATCCAATGTAGCTGATCTACGATCATCACAAACCACAGTTGCAAATGTTTCGAATGAAGTGGTCACTTGTACATCAAAGTTCTTCTCCTTCAATATTTCTTTTATTATTTTCTTTTCATCATGGAAGCGAGACTTCAAGTCTTCAACATAAAATTTAAACAAATCTAAAGGAGTTGAACCTAAAAGAAGGAAAGGACAAGAGTGTAAAATGAAAACATAAAAAGGAAATCTCCAAAATTACTGAATACTCTTTTCAACATACCTCCTTGACCTAGCATGGCTGAAAACCTTAGATCAGCACTAATAATTGGATAGAGTTCGACCCATAATGACATAGATGTAAGTTTCCCTTGTTCGTGAAGTTCATCTAGGAGAGACTGAGCCAAATAATAACAAAAATGCATTAATTGATGCAAATCAGCATAAGGGTCATGAGAGTAGGTTGAACTGCAACTACTTACAATAAAAGCATCTCGATTCTTTCGATGCTGTCTTTTTAATCGGCGCTTGTCCCTTTCCTTTTCTTCTTCTTCCTCCTTCTGAAGTTCTCTTATATGTTCTTCAAATACAATTAATGCATCTTCTTTGTCCATGGCTGAGAGAAAATTTCCAATTATTGATTAATATTCTCAAGAATAGCCTAACAGGAATGGAGCTGGACTCACCCAATAAATCTGCGTCATCAGCAAAAGCAGGGTTTTCAATGAGCACCTGCTGAGCTTCTTGCCAAGTGGAACGATAATTGATGCTAGTCATCGAGTCCAAAATTTCTGACAGGGTTTTCATGTTACGTTTTTTCAGATTTTTAGCATCTTCTTTTTCCTTTTTTGCAAGATTGAAGATTACGTCTTCATAGATATCCCTTCTGTCGTTTTCACTCACATTCTTCCAAACCTGCACTCAGAAATGTTTATGATAATGCATGTGATGCACAGAAAATTAACAAGTACATTTGACTTTTTTTTAAAAATGCACTCACATCAAGGACTCCATACATTTCTTCACATCTGTAATACTTGGTCAAAGAAGTCATTCGAGGATTGTTCATCAAATATTCCTCAAGATCCTCCTTAGCCTTTTTGGCTCTTAATCGCTGACCCTCTTTTTCTTCCTTCTGTCTTTGTGTCTTGTAAGCGTTAAATGCCTGTTTTCGCTCATTCAAATTCTTTATAACAGCATACCTTGAATCATGCTGAATTAATTTAACTGCTGCTTCCCATGATGCATTGCTTGGTACATCCTAGAACCAATGCAAAAATATACTATTAGATATGGAAACCTTGGTAATAAGGCATTAAATAATGCATAAAATACAAGACTTACATGATCCCTCAGCAGGTCTTTCACAGCCTCAATTGCCTCCTTTTTATCTTTAAAAACTAATTTCGGTTCAGCACCATCATTTTTATTAGCCGGGGTAAATCCTTTCTTGGATGCAGCATCACCTTAGAAGTAAAAATTTTAGAAATAAGAGTACTAATCGTGTGAGATGAAGTACTGATAAAAGCATATCTTCAATCCACATTTACCTCCGCCTCCAAGAGTGGCAAGGGTGGCTGCCATTGCCGCATCCAGAGCAGAGCTGTTTTTCATGTTGTGAGGTGGTGTGCCAAGGTGTACTAAAATTCAAAAACCAAATTTGAAAAAATTAAAGCACAAATCAGAAAATGACAGGGTACAATGGAAATTTGGAACAGAAGAATGCCTACCTCCACCAGGGGGAATGGGCATCATAGGAGCAGCCCCTAGGGGTAGGGAAGGACCTCCAATACCAGCAATGGCAGGAACAGCAATGCTAAAAGAGAAAAAAAAGACATTTAAAACAATGAAACAAATCCAAAACAAAGAGGGGGTAAAAGCCACAAGATTACTACCTTTTAACTTCTTCAGCAGCAATCCGATTTTTCAGATCTTTCAGTTCATCTGGTATCACCCAACGGGACTCTTTAGTTTCAACATTGTGATAGTAGGTTTTACCAGTTTCTGACGTGTACTCTTTCCAGGGACATTTGGAGAGGAGGAGCTAGAAAACAATGTTTCAACCAAAATAGTAATTGTGCTATCATTTGGTTTGAAATCAGGCAGCTTGAAAATTACCTCTGTGGTGGTTTTCAGTTCATCCGGTTTCTCCCATAAGCTATTCTTGGTAACAGAATTGTAATAATAGATTCTACCGTCAGGTGCAGTGTGTTCTGACCAATCGCTCTTTTTGAAACCTAGAGATGGGTTGGAGTTGTCATCAACACCGCTGTAAAACCACAAGAGCAGAACATCAATAGATGTGACAGCATACACAAAGGCCACTGCGACTGAAAGCGACTACACTGTGTCGTCAAAATGCCAAGCTTCCGGTCACACTTACTTCAGCTGGCTCTCTCCGTTGGTTGCTGGGGCATAGCCTGGAACGCCGAAGCCAGGAGGCGGCATGTTGAACATGGGTCCAGGGTTTGCCATTCCTGGGGTTGGAATAAAGCCAGGAGCCATGTGGGGCATTCCAGCGGAAAATGCCCCTGGCGGGGCGCCTCCCTCAGGTCCTGCCTGAAAATAAAAAATTACAATGCATCAGCAGTGGTTTGAGCAAAATTGAATAGACTGGATCAGAAATTTGATCAACACCTGCTATCAGTAAAAATTGTTGTGCGAGGGGAAAATATGGAAGACAGGGTGAAAATATGGTTGTGAGTTAATTTACAATGTGTTTAAAAGAAATTGCAGACATATCTGCCGGTGTAGGTAACATAACCTGCAAAAGGTGCCCGACAACAAACAGGATCCGCCGGTCCATTTAAAATAGGATCGTCATAAAAACAAGTGGTGAGCTTAAATAATGGACTTACCATTTTGCTTCATAAGTGGCGTGACAAAACAACGATTTAATAGATGCACAAAATGTTGACAAAAATCACAAAAAGGGCTTCGCGTCTTCCTAAGATGTTTCAAACTTCATAAACTAAATGGTAAACAAGCAGACGCATCAGTTGGTCAGAGCTGAAATGAAGTGAATAATACGCCAACCGAAAGAACACGGCTAGTTCAATTTACAAAACACGATAAAATATCAAATTCTTGAACAAAATGTCAGTTTTTTTGTTTTCTGGTAGTAAACTTGCCGTGATGTTGGTACGTCCGAGCGGCGAGCACCCAACACCGGATATAGCCCAGCATGCCTGGCGCTGGCGGTTCTTTTCGACAGACTCCGCTCGTACGGAAATGTAGTTTCGGTCTTCCAGGACGAACAGGTAACTCAAATTAGACTCGAAGTCTTGTCAAAGCCTGTACTTTTGAATTGAAACTGGAACAAACGCGGCGAAGGCGGATTACAGGGAGCAGCACATCGGCAGGAATTCCCTCCGCTCAATAGGCCAAGGACAGGTGTCAGTTGTAACGGAGGATTTTTTTTAAGGGTGTGAAGTGGGCATCGAGTTCTTTGTTCGAGGTCCGCCGGAGCTGTTGGTGTCATCGACAAAGGAAGACGATGACTGCGTGGGGCGTGGACAACCACGGAAAATGCGTCCGCGTATTTCGCTACGGAGGTTCCGTGCATGTTTTCCGCACCTGTTTCCTTGGGATCCTCATAGAGACTACAGAGAGAGACTGTAACGGAAGTTCCGCACCTTCTCCGTGCCCAATTTTGTGTACCAAAGAACAGAATTTGTTAACAGTGCAGTCACGCAGTCAACTATACACTATTTTGGCTGAAGAGGACGAAGCAAATACGAGGAGAGTGAGTCTCATTCGTCAAACTGGAGCGGATGCAATACTTTAAATTTTGGCCTATTTGCTTTTCCAGTGTGTAGTGGAAAGCGAACCGCTAGAACGGCACGTAAGTTTACGTCAAATAAAAACAAATTTAATCCAAGAAATTCTACCAAGGTGCGAGCGCCAAGCCATGCCATGAGATACCACCGCCGCCGTCGTCATGGTTACGGACGGCGTCTAAACAGCGAGAGCATCACCACGGCACAGCACCATACGGGGTTCAACTGACCATGGACGACGAATTTGATAATTTCTTGGACAGAGTGACAGAAGTCGGTGAGTATGCTATGCCCACCCGAACACCCAAGGCGCGTATGATGAGGACATACAGTGGTGTGGCGCGTTGTTGTTGTTAGTACCGTGCGTGGTCCTTCGGACACCCTTATAGCCAAAATGACAAAATGATAATCGATTTGACTTCACTTTTAAGCAGTCTGACGCAGCTTTGCTACAGTTTGCATGTGCCCGAGGGAAGTCGGCCACCGGGGAAATCCACTCCCAAAATCCACAACCCGTTCCGCTTGGGGCTATGTATCGCCAGCACAGCTGAGAACAGTCCGTCGTCCTTCTTTTCCAGAGAGACTGGTGACACAGATGCGGAGCTCCGACAGCCGGGTGGCCGACGACGCCCGCCAACGCGCTGACGTCTTGCTGGGGACGTCGACGGCGTGCTCGGCGGGGCGACGCTCCTCCGGCTCCAGCTCTGACCAGGGGGGGCAGGGAGGCCAGGGGAGCCAGCGGGCCGAGGGGGGCAGCGCGGCCAAGGGGCGGGGCGACGGGGGCCTGCGTCACGGTGGTCACGGCAAGGACCGGACCGTCATCAACCAGAAGGCCTTCGACAGGATCGGCGGCAGCGACCCGGCCGAAATGTCCAAGGGTAAGAAGGCAAGTCGGACCCTCTGTCTCTGCTTGAGAGAAGGTCTCTGTCGGAGAGAGGCACACAGTGGGCCAGAAGACCGGTGCAGGCGGCCAAAACTCTATAGAAGCGTTTTGAGATCCAGAGTCGCTAAAAAGGACGCGAATCGAACGTGTGACCCCACCAATGGATTCACCGCTTGGAAAGCAATCCATTGGTGGGGTCACACGTTGGGTTTTAGTCCCATGTAGCGACTCTGGAGCTCTAAACCTGTCCGGGGTTTTTAACGCCTCCACCGGTCTTCTGGCCCACTGTGAGGCAGAGCGACAAACCAATCTTCTGAATCTCTCGGCAGCGCCCCGCTGCTCCGCTCGGCGCCGTGGGCCGCCGGGCGGGTAGGCAATGGGGTTTTAAAAGCGTGAAAAATATTTGGAAAAATTGCGAAAAAACGTTTTTTTCGGGTTTTTTTTCACGCTTTACTTTTCGAAAAAAAGTAAAAAATAAAAATGGACGTAAATTTAAGCTTTGGGTTTCCAATCGACTCGAATAGAAAAGGGATAAAACATTGGATAGGAATCCACTTTAAAAACATGGGAAACTGAGGAAAACGATAGAAACCCCTCTCAATAAGTCTTCACTGATTAAAAAAAGCGAAAAAATTAAATCACAGCTTTTTTTACATTTTAATACAAATTTAAATAAAATTTAATTATTTTCCCCACAGGGGCTCTGTTTCTCCCCCCATTGATTCATCTACTCCCCCCACCGATTCAAACAATTTTCAAATTTAAATTTTTTTCCGTTTTTTTTGGAAAAAAAAAGTTTTTTCCATTTTTTTTGGCCCTCCGTTTTTTTTTGTAAAAAAAACCCCGGGGGGACGGGCTTAGTATATCCTTGCTGTGCGTCCGTTCGTTTGTTCGTCGTCCGCCGTCCGAGGACTTCCCGTGGTCCCATCTTGACCAAATTTGGTATCGCCTCCTTGGGTGACCCTTAGAACCGCCCGGTGGCAGCAAAACCGACCGAGCCCCGGGGGGTCTGCTGCGGTCCCATGGTCTACATGGGGGCGAGGAGGTCTCGGGAACGGGTGCGCTAGGAGGGCATGTTGGGTATTTTTGGGAAACGGGCGACAAAGAAAACCAATGGTACCAGTTTCGAGCGAATCGGGGAATTCGGACCCGGGGTTAAAACCCAGCGGGGTATTTTTTTAAAATTCTTTTTTTTCGAGTTTTTGCTTGTTTCTGTGTTTTTGAGTTGCGATGACAAAACCATTATTTAAACCCCAGACTCGGTTTAATTCCCCTTTGGTCAAAAAAAGGGAAAATTTTACTTTTTATGTAACCGGGACGGGCCCAAAATTGCCACGTATATGCTACTTTTCTGTTTTTCATCAAAATATTTCACGTTTTTTTAGAACCCTAGTAGGCAACCCATCCGGCTGGCGTGTGCAGTGCTGCCAAATAAGCATGCGAAAATTGCGACTTATCGCCAGTGTCGAAAGGGTTGCCAATACTTGGGCGGCCTACTTGACAATATCTTGACTTCGGTTTCGAGAAGTTGCCTCGGCAGGCTTAGGTCGGTGGCCCTTTCGGCACTGGTGCGTTTGGGAATTTTTACCTACACTGTGGCAGCACTGGCTGGCGGGAGCCACGGCGGCGTTTAACACAAGGGATGAGTCACTTCAATCGTTCACAAGTCAGACCAAATTTGAGGAATTTCTGTGTTATTTTTACAGAGTGCTTCATGGCTCAAGTGGAGAGGGATGCCGAGAACCGGGCCAGAGACCGGCGAGAGCGCAGGCACGTTCGGACGAGCTGAGGCGCAGGGCGACTGACGCCTTCAGAGAGAAACACTTTGAGAGGGCCCTCAATCTCTACAGCCAGGCGAGTTCGAAAGTGTGGAGACACAGGCGATTCCTGTTTGCCAAGTCCTGTAGACTGCACGACCCATGAGTGCAAGAGAGACACAGCGACGAAAACGACTCTCGGAATCAGTCTGCTGAGCGCCCATGCCCGCCTCGCCCTGCCCTTCTAAACTCATGACCCGTTCTTGCCGTCTCGTGCAGGCAATCGAAGAAAGGCGAGACAGTGCCATGCTGTACGAGAACCGAGCCCTGACGTGCCTCAATCTGAACCTGTACCAGAGGACAGTGGACGACTGTGACTGGGCATTACGCCTGGATGAAAACAGTCTAAAGGTGGACTAGTTAAGGGCCATGCAAGAGATCATAATTGTCATCAAGTTGACGAGTTTTCTGACTCCAAACGTTCCGTTCCTTTCTTTCTACAGGCCCTTCTGTACAAAGCCAAAGCCTTACACCGAATGGAGGATAAAGAGAACTCTGATAAATGTATCAAGGCAGCATTAGAAAAACACCCACATCACAAGGACATAATCAAAGGTGAGTTCTATCGGTAAACAAATCACTGATCTAATGATAGTATTTCTATTTAAGAAAGCCTCTCCGTGTTTCAGATTACATGGAAACATGGAGTCAGGATGGCATCGTACAAAAGGAAACACAGGTATAGGAAAAAAATATCATATGGAGATATAAGAATGAACCCATGAGTATGTATGCTTCAGAAAGAAACACGAATGTTTATTCTTTATTGGCATCTGTCTCAAATATGATTTTGACAGGAGCATTAACATCAGACTTGAGGAACAAAGACATGCTCAACTCACATGCACTATAATTACATTGGCTCCACTTTAAGAAACTCAGGTATATCATCTTCAAAATTAAACAAAATGCAACTAAGATAATTAAACACATGCATACCAAGGTCAAATTCTTAGATGAAGTTACTTAAGATTGGTTCAACATGACCGAACCTAGAGGACAATCTGGCACTCTAAGCTTGAATTGTGCACAAAGAAAAAAAAAACAGAATCACTGACATGACATGTACTAGGAAAACTGTCTCTACCAAAGCGTATAATGAAGCTTCCATAGTAGGTTGCTTATTTCCAAGGTTGTTGAAAGGAAACAACATACATCTTCAACAATGAGCAACACAAATTCAATTAAATAAAAAATATTTACATTGTATCTTTATTTGCTTTTTAAAGTAAGCAAATTGTAATATGTGTAACAAACTGTGAAGCATTGCTACTGTGATGCTACACATGCAGAGTAGAGAAAATAAGTTCCCTTGGATGGCTCAAAGCAGAAAAAGAGATGTATTATGTATAAGAGTGACCAGAAGCAAAATAATTGGCAAGGGTGTTTCATTGCAACCTGCTTTCTATCTCATTACACACTTGTCTTGTACCAAAACACATTAATAAAACAATAAGATGACAATGAATGAGCAAACTGATGAGTTTTAACATAAGTGTGCTACAACAACAAAGGTTCAAAATCCTTCACAAAGGTACACATATTCAGTACTATAATCGAATTTCACACATTTGGCAGAAAGATGCAGAATACAATTTCAATGTTAAAATGGTAGTTTTAAAAAGGATGTGCCAGGCGTATAATAACGAGTTGTCCTACCTATAATCTTACCGTTGGTGCATCTTTTACAGTCCGCCATTAACTTATTTGATTGCATTTTAGGGAAGCAACTATGTTTTACTCGTTTTACTGCATCTCAGGTTTGAGACTTTTAAAGTTTAAGAAAGATTAAATGTAACATTTTCACAGCCCAGATGATCTTTCAAGAAATGAGCTCAGTATATTAAGGCATTTAGAAAAAAGAAAGAGACCTACCAGATTCTCATGCAGAGAAGACAACACCCAAACATTAAGACCAATTTTCTAGTAAAAAGGTAATTTTACACACTTTGACACAACAATAGCAAAGGGTTTTATAATTAATTGATGTAGTGGCACAGTTGCAAATGTATAACAGATAAATCATGAAAGACAAATTCCTACTGAAGAACAGCCTAACACAACAGCACTCAAACAAAATTAAAGCACACACCTTTAAAATAAATATTTCAAAATAATATTGGAAAACAAAGGAAAGCGTCCCATCATGCATTTTTGACTGTATTGCATTCCTACTGATCACATAATGTTGATACTACATTTCACATGAAATTTACAAATAGGATTTAGGCATCAATTAAAGTAGTTTAACTCTTTCCCCAGTCGGGGTTCAACCAGGATGTCTTCACTGCCTTAAATGATTAAATTACTATAACATAACTAATAACACTCGCAGTAGATTGATAAACTGCTATCCAACCAATTGTTTATCACAAAAAATAAAAAAGAAAAGATACAAACGAATTTGTACCATAAACCAGATGCACAGCAGAGAATCATCTGAAAACAATGCATGTTAGTGCAGCTGATTTACTTTCTCTTTGACCTCCAAAACTCTCAACAGTCACCCCCCTTTTCTCTCCTTTCCTACAACTCCAACACCCATGATACAATCAGAACTATTAACAAATAGCTATTTACAACACCAGTGCCTAGGCAAGACAAAAGTTAGCTTTCCTAGAAAGATACATATACATAATACTAGTTTTATTCCACTGAATGCAAACCTGCCAAAATGGTTTACTTAAGCAAAATTAGAAAAACGCTGAGATTTGATTGAGTGTATCAGAACCTAGAATAAAAGAGAGAAGGAGAGCGACTTTCAATAAGGTTAATGTCTGCTTATTAAAGCTATGTTTTTTTTTTCCAAAATCCTACATATTTTTTTTTGTTGTTTTATCTAAATGGTTACACACCAACCACAACAAAAAAGAAAATTAGCAATCATATTTGAACGAGACCTAATCTCATTGTTCGAACGCACTTTCACTCTCAAGAAGAACACAACTATGTGTACTTCATTTTACACGAAACCTAAAATGTGATCTCCAGGATGAGAGCAACAAATCTTGCCAAGCAATAATTTTATACAGTATAGTGAGTACATTGAGATATAGTCATATTTTCTAGGATGAGATTGAGATTACATAGAAGTCAAAACACATTTACACACTAACACCGGTATAATAATGCTGACAGTTCTGTAAATGATTTTATGGCAAACATGTTAATATCACTTGAAGTATAAGGGATTTAAAAATACTACATTATACTACTCAACGGTCAAAAAACACCCAGGAGTCAATAGTTTTAAACCACCAGATACCTAGATGAGGAAGAAGAATCCAATAAAATTTGATAGATGAGCTACTTGTACAACCCACAATAAGGTACCAGACAGCAGGTAAAAGATTTAAAAATTTTCTGAAATCTCAAAATTAGAAAATACAAGTTTGAATTGAATCCATTAAATACAAGGTTACAGATTGTTCATACACAGTGCACATTTACTCCAGAGCACACTCAGGTAATATTTAGACTTTAGACTGATTGAGAAAAAAAAGTGTGATGAAATCTAAAGCATTATCATTGTGATGAAATCTTTCTAAAGGAGAAAAATAAACATGCAGTGCATGCAAACAATCTTGTTATAAATATAAAACTTATTCTGATATTTCACAAGTTTGTTGCTTGGTAGATTTGCCCTATGTATTTATGCAATGAAGGGTCAACACATCTAAGTAAAGTTTATTTGTACAATGCTATCTGAAATTTCTTAGAACATAAGAGCTTGAAGGACAACACAATTTATGGCAAGTACGAATGATGATACTTCGAAAGACTTTAACTCAGTAGCCGGCAATTACAATTGGTAACTGAGTAATCAACTGACTTGATTTAAGTCGTTCCACCAAAATAGTTATCCCTCAAACCTCCTTTACTACTTTCTACACAAACTTTACAGAACCCCTGGGGGCAGTGCACTCTGCAAGAATAACATCAAATTTTAAAGACCACAAAAAAGTTGCAATGCAAATGCATTATAATTTGGGGATGGCGCGCTCACATGACAAGCCTACATAGATGCACTGCCACAGGGTATTCATCACTTATCTTTGTAGATCGATGCCCACACCGGTATGTGTAGGCTGTTGCGTTCTGAAAACTTGGGGCTGATTGGGCTGGGCTTGTATTTGAGAAGGCTGTTGTTTTGGGGATGTTGAGAAATTAACACCTGTCACAAGGAAAATGCACACAATGAAACAAAAATAAAAGAAGGAAATATTCTTTTTTGTTCATGATCTTTACCTGAGGGGGACGATCCCAGTTTCTCTCCTGTATTCATTCTCGAAAATGCTAATAGTGTATCAGGGAAGTTTGGTGGAGTTGCAGGGGTGTTGCAAGGAGTGCAAATCTGAAAATATAAACAAATTGTAAAGAAGGGCATGTCATCTCCTAATCACAGTTGGAAAGCAATGGAAGCATGTTATTTCACAGTAGCCATTTCTTGTGCCCACCTGTCCAAAATGTGCTGCTGGATTACTTGAGCATGGTGGAACAGAGGCCTCTTCAAAAAATATGCTCAAAGCCGTCTGAAATAATAAAAAATGAAATAAGTTGCATTATGATACCATCGAGCCAGACAGCATGAATCTTCAGTGTTGTTTAGGTCCCTCCACACCTTCTGTGCTTTGGCACATTTCAAGATGAGTATGTGATTTAACTGAGAAAACTACTAGTCAAATATACAAAAAACAGACACTATACGGCTGGTATGATTATGAAAGGGATGAGGGATGAGCGGAAGGAAAGAAATTTGGATCAGGTTGAGTAATGGCAGAAACGCAATTATCTTGCCACAACTGTAATAGCAAGTAAAATGGAACCATGATCAGAAAATATAGAAACGATTTTATGGAGGACACGCTGTAGGACTATAGGCCAGATACGTATTGAAGAAATTACGATATGTCAATACCCAAATGGCCTAAAATTTCAAATGAAGTATTCGCATTATATTTTCTGTCACAGCTGAAGGGCTGATTTTGTGAAGAGGTGGTTGATTCAAGGACAGAAGAGAATATAGGTTGTATAGACGTCTATTAACAGGCCATAACAAAATGTGTTTTGTTTAGATGTTATTTGTTTGGAGGGAGGGGGGGAGCAGAGTGAGTTCATGGAGGAAACAACCGTTCCTCCATGTCGTGTACAGGAAGTTAAGTCTACGGCGCAATTACTCGCACAACAAAAAACCAACAGTTGATCATCAAAGTATATATTTGGGTAATTGGTGCTTGAAGTTGTTGACCTTCAGTGCAGTCTGCTTGAATCGGCAGTCGCCAGCCAACCAGGAGTAGGGAGGTCAGCCATTTTCTTCTACATTTGTTTACAAATAGAGACACAGCATACCTCAAATTGCCAGTGTGCGGCCTGAAGAAGCTGTTTTGCCTGCTCCTTGGCACATCCAGCGGCGAGGACGAACTGGTTAATCATGACTTGCTCCCTTAACGAGTCCATATTTGCGGATTCCTACCGAAAATTTACAATGAGCACACACACAGCAGTAGCAGTAGTGTTGATTTGTTTTCGAAGCTACTCATCCAAAAGTGACGTCACAGTGCAGCTGGATGGCTGCGGAAGCTCTTCCAGCCAGGGTCCTCATGACCTTGTCTTTCAAATATTGAACAGATCTACCTTATAGTTGTAGTATCGGGTAGTTTCAAGATATTTTCTTATTCTTAAGTTAAATTTTGTTTTCGTTCGAGGGAAACTAAGAAATAATTATTTGAAAACTTTTCAAGCCTTGATCTACTTCTCTGCCTGGAGTTTCAGGAGACCCGTTTAGTTGGTGCATCTGCGTCTGCTGTATTTCGGCTTCGGACCGTAATTTTGTTTTGGTTCCGCTTTCCTTTCCTACCGAAATGATTGTGCATTTGCCCCTTTGATTAGCTTATAGTATTCCCTTTTTTTCACCACCAAGGTTTGTGAATGTTGCTTTTTCAATTTTATTGGTTTCTGCTCTTTGGATAAACTCTTGAGTTTCACTTTTGGTTGTCATCTGATCAGTTCACCTTCCTGGTTTGAAGTGACCAACTGCTTTGTTAATTTTTCAAAATAAATTTTTATCCTTTTTTTGACAATCTTATTTATATGAAGAGAAAATTTAGAGCTTTTCATTGTATGGATGCTTTATGCCCTTTTCTTTTTCTACTAAGTGTCCCACATTTTACTGTACAACTCTAGGCAGCTCTAGGGAATTTATTTTTATTTCTTTGCTTTTCATTTTACTATGTTGATTTTTGTTTCCTCTTTTACAGATGTCAGAAGTTGATAAAATGACACAAAAAGCTGAAGATAAGCTGACATTAAGTCTTCGCTGGGGCAGCCACAGAGAAACAGTACTTCAATCTTTAGAATCATCATATGGAGATCAGGATTTTGTAGATATGACACTTGCGTGTGAAGGCCAATCAGTAAAGGCCCATAAAGTAGTTGTGTCAGCTTGTAGCACACACCTAAAACAGCTCCTTATGGTACAGTTAAATGCTGTCCTAATGACATTAAATTCTGACAATCTAATTATTTTTCAAATTCTTGACCACACTTTCTAATTTTCCAGGAGAACCCATGCCCTCATCCAATTGTTATCCTCAAAGATGTGGCTATGAAAGAGCTACGTCGTTTGTTGGAGTTCATGTATTGTGGGAGGGTTACAGTTGAACAACAACAGTTAGAGCCTCTGTTAGAAGCAGCAAAAATGCTTGGTGTTCGGGGTCTAGCTGCCTCCAGAGTAAGTTTAAAACATTTCCAGAAAAATTTTATTCTAGTCTGTTTTCTTTTTCTTTTTTCTGCATTAATTGTATTACTCGTTATTCTGCAGGAATGTTTGGAGGAATCAGAAGAGCAAGAGGGTGAAAGTTCTGAATGTGACCATAACCGGGACTTTGATTATAATGGCCCGAAAACAATGAAGAGGCATCGCTCTGAATCACCAACCCCCAATAAGAAGACACGTCCAGTACCACAACTTCAAAGTATACTTGCACAAACACTACTCACAAGCCCATCAACTCGTCCAGGAGAAAATGCTTCAGACTTGCAATCTGAATCGCTTAAGCCATCTTCTCCAATTAGCACTCTTGCCAAGTTGTTATCGCAGTCACCAGTTAGCACCCTTGGTTCTTCTCATTCAAGTTCACTTGAGAATGAAAGCAATCGTACAGAATCAAATACACCTAGGCCAGAAGATGCAAATAGCATAAGCAGTCAGATGGTGAGTTCAACTTGATTTTTTGTTTGGTATTTTATGTATGTTCTATCACACAGTATAATTTTAAATACTTTTTTTCTAGATGGAAGTCGGGCTGCAATTGAAGCAAGAATCTGTTGACTTAGACCTAGATATTGACAATCCCACTGAAGCATTAGAATTAGAATATCAAAACCCAGAGTTTGATGAAACTGTTGATACAGATACTTATCAAAACCAGGCTGGGCATCCATCTTCCTCTGCCTATGATTCTTCAGTTCATGAAAGAATTGGAAAAGCAACAGCATTCATGCTTAGCCTTGCCAAGAGGGCAAACCAGAGTACGTATACTAAGTACTGGCACTAGTAACTCTCTTACTTGAAAGCCTTCCATTTTAGTTTGCTAAATGGTACTTCACAATGATTTCCAGATAACCCATTCACATCATCTCCACCTGAACGCAAACTGTCTTTCCACGAACCTCGGCCATGTTCTGTATGTAATAAGATGTATCGAGATGCTGCAACATTACGGACTCACATGGCAATGATGCACCCTACTGCCCGAATGAGCACTCCAAGTCTACCTAGTAAGTATTCTTTATCATTTTGCACAAACTGTTGAAGCCTGTTTATCAACTCTTATTTTGTATTTATGCACATTGATACACTTTTAATTTGGTCTGATGTTAATCATGAATGGGTCCATAAGAAATTTAAAAAAAGAAAGAAGGTTAGGTGTTGGTTGGTCACCTAAACTTAAATTGAAGGTGTGGTTTCAGCAGGGGAAGCGACTAGATCAGCTCCATTATCTGCAGCAGAATATCTAGCATCGATGGCTGAGAATCTCAAGTCAGAGTAAGTTTCAGGACTAAATGTTCATCCAGTACAAATTTTGTGGATGTGTGTCAATTTACATTCTGTAGTTAAATGTTAATTCAGTCGTTGTAGTTGCTTCAAGGAATTTGGTTAATTTTTACATACGTTTGGAGTTTTATTGTTCTGAATCGTAGAGCTCCCAACAATGAGCTAATACATTATTTCCAATTTAATTTTGGGTATTTTCAGTCATGAAACTTGATCTGTTTGAGTTCACTGGTTTTCTTGTGAGGTTCACATCACTCAGATGATCATCGTAGAGCATTGTATTGGTTGCATGCGTAGTATTCATTGTAGGTATCAACTTGCCTTCTAGTTACTGTATCTCTTGCAAAATTGTGATTTAATTTCCTTTTTTGTGTACTGTTTTATCAAACTCCTCTTACAGTCAATGTTTTGATTTTGTACTATTGTAAAAAGTAGAGGGTAATTTCTATTTCTAGGAACTTCTATAGCAAAAAAAATGTTCAAGAAGAGTAATGTGTTTTGTTCTTTTCATGCCAGCAGCCAATGGAGACGGTGGCAGTGAAAACCGCCTGGCGTTTTATGAAGCTCGTCCATGCTCGATCTGTGGCAAAATGTATCGTGACGCTGCATCCTTAAGAACTCATACAAACATCATGCACACCATGTGGCGTGACGGCTTCGAGTGCTCGTGCAAGTTAATTTTTCAAACTAAGCATGAAATGTACCAGCATAGAAGAACTCATGGCAAACAAAAAGAGTTTCAATGATTTGAGAAAAAAAGAAAAGGGGAAGGGTCTTGTATGAGTATCAGTTTTACTAATTTTGTAGATTATTTGTTGGTACTATTTAATCACATGCAGTGTAATTGCTGAAACAAAAAAAAAATTGTCATAGAAGTGTTTTTTATTTCTACATTTTTTTTTATTTTTGTAAGCCAAAACAAACCTTAAACCAAAATGCAAATTGCTTCCTTTGCAGACAAAAAGACTGATTCATTTTATTTCCAAATCTATTTGTTTTGTGTGACAGTTGAACCACCAAATTTTCTCAGTGGTTGCTGAAACGCTTAGAATTGGTACTGTTTTACTGATATGTCAGTACTGTAGAAGCATTTTAACTTCTTCCTGTTCTTTTAATTCTTCGTTTTGTTTTCATTAGACTGCAGTAATGTTTACATCTATCAAATCACAGAGGAATTACATGAGAATGTTGTGCATTCACAACATTCATTGGAATGTAAGGAATCCACTATGCTTTCTTTTTAGTGTCAAGCTGATGACATTAAAATGTTGATCTCTCTATTGTTTTATATTATATTTTATTTTTTGTAGTTTATTGTGTTAAATATTTTGGGTGAAACCTACTAGTCCTGTTTGTTTTTAAATGAAATATTGAAAAACTAAGTTTACTTTAACTAGGAGTTTGTTGTTATGAAACTTCACTGTCATCCATTTTGGCATGTGCTGTTGCATAAAAAAATATATTGTTTGTGACATCCACACAATCTCACCAGGTTGTGTTCATATTTTGAGTGTGACAAAGTATACAAGATCAAAATGAATCATGTTAGACAATTAAGATTGATTTTAGAGTCAATTAAATGTTCCTCATCTTTGATTTATAGCCCAAGCTGGACATGATCAATCCCTGAAACAAATTAAACTGGCTTGTGGACTATGATTTTGCTGCCATCTTTCGATGAATTTGTCAGACTGGCTCCAAAGCAGAAGGCAGAGATATGGTGACTTTGATGAGCTATGTTTAGCAACCCTAAAGGTAGATATGTAATTCTTTATCTGCTAAGTGTACTGTAATGGTACGTGCACCCTTCTGCTTGAGCTGGTTTATTTTGAAATTTGAAAAATGCCTTTTTTAACATATGCCACAAGTAGTTCAAAATGTAGTTTGAGAACTTTTGTTTAGCTTTGTTCATGAGGTGCTTGTTATGTTTTATTTTGGTTAAGACTTTCAGCTGTTTCTTGTGCTCCTTTTGCTCATCGAATGGGTCTTTACTGTACATTATGTCGGGCAAAAGGTAGTCTTTATTATTTGTGATGTGGCAGCTGAATTGTAAATTATGTGTCCTTTCCCTCAAGGACGTCAGTGTACACCACATACAGTACCTGTCATGATTTTGATATGTTAATCTGTAGAATATCAAATGGTACACTAAATTACTGTGACGGTTTTGAATGCAACGTGTGCACCAAAATCTACAAAGTAATCAAATGAGTGGGCCACCATGTGTATCGTACAAATGCATGAACTCTTTCAATTCATGTATCATGTGACAATGTGATGAACGTTTATTGTTATCCACTGTTTATCAAGCATCTTGCATCATAAACTTTTTCACTACGATTTTCAATGAGTGTTGTCAAATTTGATTTCCTTCCCATACCCGTCAGAATTTTGTCTCTTTAATGGATTATTGCCTCCGGCAGACTGAATCCACCACGGTGGTCGTTCTGTCTCCAGCGCACTCGCGGGCGGGCGCGACACAGTGGGCCAGAAGACCAGTGGAGGCGGCCAAAACTCTTGACGCGTTTTGAGCTCCAGAGTCGCTAAATGGGACTCGAACCGAGCGTGTGACCCCACCAATGGATACCTCGTTCGGAGAGCAAGCCATAGGTGGGGTCACACGTTCGGTTCGGGTCCCATTTAGCGACTCTGGAGCTCAAAACGCGTCTGGAGTTTTGGCCGCCTCCACCGGTCTTCTGGCCCACTGTGCGTGAGAGAGACAGAGCGACGAAAGCCCTGTTCGGACTCGGTCCACAGGCGACGAATGACATTCAATTCTCCCTCTCCCTCGTCTCGAAAGGCATCGTGACTTGGCAGCGTATCGCCGCGGTTTATTTGCGATTTACTGCTCCATCGGCAATGAAACCATCGGCAAACGAGCAGCCTGCGCACGCCATGCCACGCCTTGCCACGCCATGCCACGCCTTGCCACGCCATGCCACGCCATGCCACGCCTTGCCACGCCATGCCACGCCTTGCCACGCCTTGCCACGCCATGCCACGCCTTGCCACGCCTTGCCACGCCATGCCACGCCATGCCACGCCTTGCCACGCCATGCCACGCCTTGCCACGCCATGCCACGCCGTGCCACGCCTTGCCACGCCATGCTACGCCACTTAGCTGGGTTCCGGTGCAGCCCGCGGTGTGCACGGTGTGGGTGTGGCCCCTCATCTTGGAGTAGCACTCGAAGGCGTGGTCCTGGCCACTCCCGACCGACTGCACCACCACACCCGCAATTTCGGCCTCAATCTTTTTTCTGTTGTTTTCAATCACTTTTTTGTAAAGCGCAGATTACGCCTCGCGTTTTTGAACTTGACAATGCGCCGCGCACCCAGTGGTACCCACCCGATACCTGATGGTGCCCGTCCGGCGCCCACCCGGCTGCCCTGGAATTCCCCATGTGTCAAAAATAGCCGCAGGATGGGTTTCAGCGCGGATTCTTCCCCAGTGTGCTGGAGAGCGATCCCCCCCTGTGCGTCCGCGCCGTCCACACTCCCCGTTTCGTTTCGCACGGCGTGCTTTCCCCAGAATCTGTGTGAGTCACAGCGTCGCAGACGCAGCTCGCCGCGAGCGCTGTTCCAAAGTCAACGTCACGCAGGGGCCCAACCACTAGCAGTGTGGGTGCTGGAAGTGACCCGGGCGGGGCCCAGAGGGGCGGGGAAGGCAAAAGGAGATAAAATTGACGGTGGGTTTGCGCATACGGGAAAAGTGTTCTCTTGGTTTACAAGAAAGACCCGTGGACTTGCCCGTGGACCAATGCTAGTCCAGCCAGGGCCTTCCCTTGAAAACCAAACCTTCCTGGCGCCATGGTGGTACTTTTTGCCCGCCTCCCTGGGCGGTAGTTCGAACGGGGGCCAAAAACGTGTCTCATTCCTTGCCCCTCTCTCCCCCCCTCCCCTCCCGGCGCGGAGACGCGGAGCGACGCGGAGCTAGAGCTGAGGTAAATCTCTGGCTGCGATATGCCCGGCTGTGCCCGGCACGTGTGGCCGGCCGGGCACGAAGTGGCACGAAGTGGACACAATGTGGCCGAGGCTGCCCCTTCCACTGTAAGGCAGAGCGGATTCCGAACATCGCATCCGTCTATCTCTTTTTCCCTCATGGGGCTTTCAGGGCTATCCGCATCGGTGCGAGAGAGACAGCGACAAAGTGGCGAGCGGCGGAATCAGTCAGCCAGCCCACAGTGGGCCAGAAGGCCGGTGGAGGCGGACAGAACTCTGGACGCGTTTTGAGCTCCAGAGTCGCTAAAGGGGTCTCGAATCGAGCGTGTGACCCCACCAATAGATTGCTCTCCGAACGAGGAATCCATTGGTGGGGTCACACGTTCGGTTTGAGGCCTGGCTAACGACTCTGAAGCTCAAAACGCGTCTAGAGTTTTGTCCGCCTCCACCGGTCTTCTGGCCCACTGTGCAGCCTCCCCTCTCTCCGCCTTCGTCTCCGTCTTCGTCTCCGCCTCCGTCCCTACGCCGCGTACCTTTGTTTTTACCGTCCGCAGCCGAGCGATTCAGCAGATCGGTTTGTCGCTCTGTCTCTCTCGCACCCATACGGAGACCTTCGGGAGAGCGACAGAGACAGTGGCGCAGGCGAAACGCTTCTTCTGAATCGCTCGGCACGGCAGGCCGGATAGGTCCGGATCGCACCGCCCCCTTGCTGCCCTAGCGCCTTGGCGTCGGCGGCTGGTTTTTGCACTGTGGGCCTTGATGCTCGGTGCCGACACACTGTGTGCCGACGGCACGCGGGAGACTCCGGCTCCGGCTAACCGTTCCGTTTTCGGCGCTGTCAACGCGATCCGTTCCGGTGGACGAATCGATTCGTGATAAAGGAAAACTTTGCCGGATTCGAACACGAGTCGTCGCGGCGTCGGCGGCACACAGTGGGCCAGAAGACCAGTGGAGGCGGCCAAAACTCTAGACGCGTTTCAAGCTCCAGAGTCACTAAATGAAACTTGAACCGAACGTGTGACCCCACTAATGGATTGCTTTCCGAAAGAGGGATCCTTTGGTGGGGTCACACGTTTGGTGCGAGTCCCATTTAGCGACTCTGGAGCTCAAAACGCGTCTGGAGTTTTGGCCGCCTCCACCGGTCTTCTGGCCCACTGTGCGGCATCCTGGTCCCCGCCCCGCGAGTCCACGCCACTGCGAGTCCACGCCGCCGCGCCCCGCGCCTCGGCGGCGCAATGTATTACCTCGCTCCAGGCAGGAGGACTGACTGGTCGTTCAAAATTCGCCGCCGAATTTGTGCTGGCAGTCTTTGGACAGCTCCTGCGTGTAGACGGCCGCCTGGGGTGCAGCGAGCGTTTCAAAATGTGTCACCTGCTGCAGACTGATTCCGAGAGTCGTTTCCGTCGCTCTGCCTCTCTCGCACTCACGGGGCGCTCCGTATAGGTGCGAGGGAGACAGAGCGACGACAACGACTCTCGCAACGAGTCGGCTGTGACGTCATCGGCCTCACCTCGACGTGTGGACACGGCGGCGTGAAGATTGGCTTGCCGCCTTCGCCCAGGTGCGACGCATACGGCACGGAGAACACCTTCTTCATGCCGAGCTTCTGTGCGATGTTCGCGCTGGAACAAAGAGGAGACCACGGTGACACCAGGAGTCTCAGAGACACGGCGCGGCGCGGGCTGCCCGGCCGGAGTGAACTGACCAGCGAGAGAGACAGAGCGACCGAGCTCCGCGACGAACCTGTACTGGCTCGTGCAGTCGATCTTGTAGGCGGGCGCGCCGACGTCGGCGGCCACCTCCCGGGCGGCCAGCGCCAGCTGCAGCCCCACGCCGCGGCCGCGCATGTCCTCGGAGGTGGCCAGCTCGCGCAGCTCCAACATGCAGCGGACGTCGCCGTCAGACACGCGCCAGATCTCGGGCCGCTCCAGCATCATGGTCCAGAGCTCCAGGACGCGCTTCGTGGCGGGGCAGTCAGCGGCCTCTGCACTGGAAAAAAACGAGTTCTGAATCCGAGAGCGGAATTTGTATCCCATTGATGAAGCTCTCAGATATTCGGAGAACAGGACACCTCCCCTCCCCCTCCCCCTCTGGATCAGCGCCCGGCTCCTTGACCCAACGTGACCCGCTATCTCGTAAACGGCGACAAGCTAAAGACATTAAATGGAAATAAAATTTTCAAAAGAAGTCACTTTGTCCATAACGCCAGTAAATTCCACCGTTTACGAGGTATCGACACCTGCACTTCGAGGCGGGTCACGGGGGTCACTCTTCTCCTCTGCTCTGAAACCGGCCGGCCGGCAGTTGGGCGAGGTCAGGGTGTTCTCTGGTGGCGCCCCTCACCGGATCGGTACGGAGATTTGTCGCTCTGTCTTTCTCGCGCACTGTGTCGCGTCCGCGGTCGCGTCCCTCACCGGCGTCCTGGCGCAGCTTGCAGGCGTCCTCGGGCGTCACGATGCTGTTGATGGCCACGCCGCAGATCCTGTCCTGGTGGTCGGGCAGCACGGCCATGAGCGAGAGGCCCTCGTCGAAGGAGGCGCGCGTGTGCTCCAGCAGCATCCTGGGCGGGTTGCGCGTCAGCCCCGCGGCCAGCAGCACCGGCTCCTCCCGGTAGAAGGTCCTCGTCATGAAGTCCATGACGCGCTCCGCGTCGCAGCACGAGCAAGGCACCACGGTGAAGCGCGGGCCCTGCCGATCACTCTCTGTCGCACTCATGGGGCACAGTGGGCCAGAAGACCGCGGTGGAGGCGGCCAAAACTCTAGACGCGTTTTGAGCTCCAGAGTCGCTAAACAGGACTCGAACCGAACGTGTGACCCCACCAATGGATTACTCTCTGAACGAGGAATCCATTGGTGGGGTCACGCGTTCGGTTCGAGCTCGGGACTAGTCCCATTTAACGACGCTGGAGCTCAAAACTCTAGACGCGTGTTAGCAAGCGTCCTGCCGGTTTCGGCTCGGCGTGGACCACTACTCACTCTGCAGGACTTGGAGGGCTGCTTGCTGGCGGTGTAGCCGCGGCCGTCCGCGCCGCCCTCGTTGCCCCACCCCCGCCCCCACCCCCGCCGCCCCCAGGCCCTGGCATGGGCCAGCAGGGGGCCGAGCGGCCTCATGCCATGTCGGCGACGTCGGGGACGTCGGCACCCCGCGCTGCCACTTTACAGTGCGGTAACTTTAGCAGTGCGGCCGCTCGGCAGACGCGGCACTGCGCGGCACGCGGTGCCACTGTCGGCGGAGAGTGAAACCGAGGCAACAATGGAGAATGCACCCCACACCGATAAAGGGCGCGAAAGCCCCCGAGGTCAGCCGATTCAGAAGATAGGTTCTCCGAGGGTTTGTCGCTCTGTCTCTGACGCACCTTTATGGAGAGCCCCATGAGTGCGACAGTTGCCTACCTTTCAGGCGGTTATCTACCTTGACGCCCCTTCCCACCCCCACCCCGGCTCGCGCCCGCGTCCACCGTGCAGCTCAAACTTGGGCGCGCGTGGCGGTCTCTGTCTCTCTGTCTCCGTCTCTCTCTCCCCGAGGAATGCCACCACCGAGAACCGGCCCGCGGCGGCGCTCTCCAAAACACACACGCGGAAAGTGCTCGACAAGCAGATTCAGCGCCTGCTCCGCCTGCACTGAATGGACGCGGACGGCGCGGCCGTTGCCGCCGTAGTAACGCACGCGGTGCGCCGTGGCACAGTGGGCCAGAAAACCAGCGGAGCGGCCAAAATTATAGACGCGTTTTGAGCTCCAGAGTCGCTAAATGGGACTCGAACCGAACGTGTGACCCCATGGATTGCTCCGAACGAGGCATCCATTGGTGGGGTCACACGTTCGGTTGGTGTCCCTCTTAGCGACTTTGGAGCTCAAAACGCGTCTCGAATTTTGGCCGCTCCACCGGTCTTCTGGCCCACTGTGCGTGGTGCGCGCATCAGGGCCGGGCAGCTGCAGGCTGGCTCCGTCTCTCTCGCACTCATGCGGCGTGCCGTCGTGGTGCGAGAGAGACGGAGGGACGAAAGCGATGTTAGGGAGCAGCCCGCGCACAGTGGACCAGAAGACCGGTGGAGGCGGACAAAGTCCTAAACTCGTTATGAGCTCTAGAGTTGCTAAATGAGACTCGAACCGCGTGACCCCACCAATGGATTCCGCATTCAGAGAGCAATTCATAGGTAGGTGGGGCCACACGTTCGGTTCGAGTCCCATTTAGCGACTCTGGAGCTCAAAACGCGTCTAGAATTTCGGCCGCCTCCCTTCGGTCTTCTGGCCCACTGTGCGGCGGAGCGCCTGCGAACTTCGGGTAGGCAGCCACGCAGCACTGCGGTGCGCGCTTCCTCGCCGGCTGCCTACGCTGCAGGCGCTCCGAGGCGCTCCGCTGCACCCAGTTCAGCAGTTTGCACTGAGAAAACCTTACAAACTATTTTGGGCCTTACAAAGAAAAGAAGTTTGTATGACAAAGTATTTTGAGCATACATAAGCTTACAAAGAAAATACTTTGTAATTTACGAACTATTTCTTCGTATAACAAAGTATTTTAGTTTGTTATATGTATGCTCAAAATACTTCGTAAGGTTTTAAGAGTGTGACAACCCTTCCAGTGCAAAATAGAACTGGACTCAACGACTGCAGATTGGCCACTGCAGTTGCACGGCAAAAGTACCGCCTGGGATTCCCAGGCGGTGCCTGGAAAATAGGCCCTTTTCCTTATGATGCGCTGGGATTCCCAGGCGGTGCCTGGAAAATAGGCCCTTTTCCTTATGATGCGCCTGGGAATCCCAGGCGGTACTTTTGCCGTGTGGAACCGCAGTTCAACTTGTTCCTTCCGCGCGGGCGTCCGTCGCTGCAAACGTTCCACGCAGGCCGGCAGGCTGGCGTCCGAGCCTCTGTCTCTCTCGCACTCCAAAGCACCGCCCTGTGAGTGCGAGAGAGACAGAGCGACGAACGACAGAGAACCACCGTCCGGTTCACAAACTTTTACCTGTGGCAGACGGGGATGGCTTGTTGGCAAATCATGACTTAGTTTATTTGTAAGCTTGTCGAAGCTTGTGCTTGATCGAAATACTTTGTAGTGACAACCTAATTTTCTTTGTAAGGCTTTAAATGGTTTGTGAGGTTTCGAGTCTTAAAAGTGTGGCGCGCGGAGCGGAGCGGCCACGCACAGTGGGCCAGAAGACCAATGGAGGCGGCCAAAACTCTAGACGCGTTTTGAGCAACAGAGACGCTAAATGGGACTCGAACCGAACGTGTGACCCCACCAAAGGATTGCTCTCCGAACGAGGAATCTATTGGTGGGGTCACACGTTCGATTCGAGTGCAGTTCAACGACTCTGGAGCTCAAAACGCGTCCGGGGTTTTGGCCGCCTCCACCGGTCTTCTGGCCCACTGTGCGGAGCGGCCACGCCCGGCGGCCGCGGAGCCACGTGGGTCGCGGAACGTGTCTTCGGCCGGTGCCGGTAGTCGGTCACTGCGCAGGCTTTTGACAACGCGGCTCGTAAACATTGATTACGGTCCGCCAGTCCATCATCACCGGAACCATCCTCGGAGTCACTCCACCGGCAAAGAAGGATAAAAACGGGTGAAAATGAATCAAGCGGCGAACGTTAAAGCCGTTTACGACGGTGCGGTGTACTTTTCCGGGGACGAGCGTCGTGCACTTGTAACTAGGCTCTCGGATTCTGCGACGGCCCCGCCCCGCCCCGCCCCGCCCCGCCCTTGACAGATAGCAGTTGTGGATGGCCAGGGACAGATCCCGAGGATAGCCCGCGCGAGTCGCGCAACGAGTCGACACCCGCGCAACGACTCTGTCCTCAGACTCTACCCTTCTTCTCTTTTCCGGGGTACGGTACACTGGTTGAACTAAAGCCTACTTTTACGCCTTGCTGCGCGGAAATTCAAAGGGTGAGACATCTGACCAACTATTGGTGATTCAAAAAGCATGACTGAAAAAAGGTCAGACATCAGTGAGTCTGGTCCTTGCTTAGCTTGGGGATATATCAACCTTTATCAGTGACACAAGCAAGTATATGGCCCTCTTTCGGTCATAGATTTTAGTATGGCCGTTTTCCAGTCGTACATTATAGTATCACCTCTGAAAGGGTCAAAAGTCTCACCTTTCTATTTTGACTGCAAGCGTAATGGTTCCTCCCGTTGGCTTCAAGCGGTGGCGATCCGTTCGACTGCAAGGGTAAGGCTCGGTAAGGTCTTGAAGCGTAGTTGTATGCTATGTTTCAATTTTAGCAGTGTAGCCATAACTGCTCTCTCGTCTCTCCTCAACTTGAGTCGTTTTCTGGCGAGTTGAAGCGGTCGCCAGTTCGCATCGGCGGCGCAGGCGCTGGGTAGGAGAGCGCGCGCCTCTCGTCAGGTGGCTGCGGCCGGACCACTATCAGGGAAAAAGTAGCAGCAAAAAGTACACTGCTTTGGTCAATGTTTCAGCCGATAGCATCGGTGACCATTTCATCGTGGTGTTCCCGCCACTCACGCGTAGTACGATGCGTTTTATATGTTGTTCTACTTTGGCAGAATGCTTCTTTAACCAAGATTCGTAGCGTTGTCCCACAGAAGCCCGTCACCAAGAACCTGAGTTCAGCACGGGTGGGTCAGTGGAACCGCATAAGAAGTACGTCCGAAACAGGCACTGGCACCGGACACCCATCCGCTGAGAAGGCCGACCCCAGGCGATGGAAGAGGAAGGGAGAAAAGAAAATTGAAAGTGAAATAATAGCAGCAAGAAAAGTGAAGCCATTTTCTAGGCCGTTCCCTCGCGATCTGCTCTAGCAGAGTGATTCAGGAAGTCGTTTTCGTCGCTCTGTCTCTCTCTCACCTTCAAGGGACGCCCCGTGAGTGTGAGAGAGCGACAGAGCGACGAAAACGACTCTCGGAGCCTCAAAGTCACCGAGGTGCTTGACTCGCCACATTTTGGACTCGGCCCTTGCTTCTAATCTGCCGGTGCCGTGACATCGCGCAGCGGGCCGACTCGTCGCTCTGTCTCTCTCGCACCGCTGCGGAACGCCCCAACGCCCCGCGAGTGCGAGAGAGACAGAGCGACGACAGCGATGTTCGGATTCGGTCTATGCAGCAGGAGCCCACCGCGGCTTCGGGCCGGCCCGCGCAGTTCGCGCCACTCAAGCGAGAGAGAGAGAGAGAGAGAGAGAGAGAGAGAGAGAGAGAGAGAGAGAGAGAGAGAGAGAGAGAGAGAGAGAGAGAGAGAGAGAGAGAGAGAGAGAGGAAAAAAGTTCAACGCGGAGTGACCAGGCGGTGCGTTGTGTCTTAACTGGAATCTTCCCGCCAATTTGTCGAACGCAGTGAGTGGGTGGAGAGCGCCGGGCTCAGCGTGGAACTTTTGACGGGACCGAATAAAAGCATCGCACTCCCTGTTCCAGCGGTCTGATTCCGTCGCTCTGTCTCTCTCGCACTCATGGGGCGTCCCGTGTGGGAGCGAGAGAGACAGAGCGACGAGAGCTCAGCCGGCCGGTGCCCTGCCACTGCACTGCAGTGCCTGGAGCCCGCTGGAGCGGCGCAGCTGGGCGTTGTTCCCGCTCGCGGTGCCCTTGAAACCTCGCCGTATCACAGGAGCGCTCGCCGCTGGTCCAGAAGGGCGTGATGCACTCCAGCAACGCGTCGGGCGATTCTGCTGCCCGCACCCGCCGCTCTGTCCCTCTCGCACCTCCACGGCACACGCCATGAGTGCGAGAGGGACAAGTGTGGATAGCGGACGAAGAAAGCGCTGCCTCTGGACCTGCAGACACTGCGGGGTGGGCTGATTCCGAACTGCGACCGTGTCTCTCCGTCTCTCTCGCACCCGTGCGGGACGCCACGTGAGTGTGAGAGAGACAGAGCGACCAATCAAATCGAAATCAGGCTGCGGGTGCGAGCGCGCGAGACGCCGGTGGACATTTCCCCGGCCGGCGCCGAGGTGGCCGAAGGCATGGGGCTTCCCCAGGCGGGGGCAGCCCGCTCTGCGCTCTGCCCGCGCGGACAGGACAGGTTGGGCCGCGGCAGGCGGCAGGGCAAGGGATGGCAGGGCCGGGCACTGGACCCTGCAGACACATTCCGAGAGTCGTTTTCGTCGCTCTGTCTCTCTCGCACCTACATGGGACGCTCCATAATTGCGAGAGAGACAGAGCGACGAAAACGACTCTCTGAATCAGTCTGCTGGGCGGCGCGCCACGGCGGGCGCCACGCCACTTGCGAGCCACGCGGGACGGACGGGGCGTCCGCACTGCCCTGCGCTGCTATCCGCCCCGCCGCCACGCCGCCACGCCGCTACGCCCCGCGCATGTGCCGCCGGCACCGCCAGCACGCCGCGGGCGAGTCATATAAAAGCCGCCGCCGCCGTGCGCCCAGCTTCACTCCGTCAACGCGCACCCGCCCGCCGCGCCGCAAGCCGCCACCACCTCCTCGGCGGCCACCTCGCCTGCCAACCTCCACGGCGGCGACCACCAGGGCGGAGGCGACCACCACCAGGGCGGCGACCACCAGGGGGCGACCACAAGGGCGGCTCCACGGCGGCAACCTCCACGGCGGCAACCTCCACGGCGGCAACCTCCACGGCGGCAACCTCCACGGCGGCGACCTCCTTGGTGGCCACCTGGCACCTCATTCCACCTGACCGTCACCGAGACCCTTGACGGGGACGTCAACGCCGCCATGGCCGGTAAGTCCGGCTGTGTGTCAACGGCGTCGCGCTGTCTGCCGCACGGCCAGTCAATGACAAAAACAAGCGAAAACACTCTCGCTGCGCCGGGCATGGCGTTTAGTTGCCGCCAGTTATCATTGAATCCGATACTATTTTCCCCGTTCTGTTTTTGGCAGAGGAGCAGATGTACTTCTCGTGGACGGACTACTTCGTGTTCGTCGGCATGCTGGTCGTGTCCACCGTGATCGGGCTGTACCACGGCTTCAAGTGAGTGCAAGAACAACGTGAGGGAGGTCCAGGCGGCCTTACGGCAGGGCATTCACTCTCGCCGTTCACAGCCATTTTTAGTGAGCGATTCGTGTTCGAATGCTTGTTCACCGTCGTCGTGTTGCAGGTGGCGGCCGTGGTCGCGGGGCGGCTCCTGCCGCGGCTCCAGCGAGGTGGGGTCGTCCTCCGTGGAGGAGCAGCCGGGGGACTCGTCGGCGGAGGAGTTCCTCACGGGCAGCGGCAAGATGGGCACCCTGCCCGTGGCGCTGTCCATGCTGGCCAGGTACGTCTAGAGCGTCTCTAGGTACGTCTCACAGTGGGCCAGAAGACCGGGACGCGGCCAAAACTCTAGACGCGTTTTGAGCTCCAGAGTCGCTAAATGGGACTCGAACCGAACGTGTGACCCCACCAATAGATTGCTCTGCGAACGAGGAGTCCATTGATGGGGTCACTCGTTCAGTTCGAGACCCATTTAGCGACCCTGGAGCACAAAATTCGTCTAGATTGTCAGCCGCCTCTACGGGTCTTCTGGCCCAGTGTGCGTCTCTTCCGTAAGTGGAAGCCGGCCTGAGGGTGCTCGCCAAAAAGGGCTCTTGGCTTTCCCTGGGACTCCCTGGGCCGACTGGGCCAGCCAGGAGCGCTTTTCTTCTGTGAAGGGAAAAGTATAGCACTTCCTGTCTACTCACAGTGGACAAGTGTGGCGTTTTGTCTACCTCTCAGGCGATTCTCTATCTAGGCGCCGTCAAGGCGCTGTCCTTTCCGTCCCTCTGGATCCGCGCCTGCTATGCGAGCTGCAGCATTCCTCGTCGCTCTGTCTCTCTCGCACCCGTGCGGGCGCCCCGCGAGTGCGAGAGAGACAGAGCGACGAAAGCGACGCGGTCTCCGCGGAGTGCACACAATGGCGGCGAGTGTGTGCAGCGCGACCGCGACGCCGCGACGCACGGCAAGGGCAGCGCTAAGGCGAGTGCTAAGGGGTCTCGGAGGCCTGCAGCGGCACGCCATGCTACCGGACAAGCCGCCAACCAATGCCAATGCCAGTGTCACCAGTGTCGCAGCCCGCCGACTCGAAGCAGCACAAGAACCGCGTGCCCCACCACAAAGCGCACCACTGCACAGTGGGCCAGAAGGCCGGTCGAGGCGGCCAAAACTCAAGACGCGTTTTGGCTCCAGAGTCACTAAACAGGACTCGAAGCAAACGTGTGACCCCTTCAGTGGATTCCTAGTCCAGAGAGCAATCCATTGGTGGGGTCACACGTTCGGTTCGAGTCCCATTTAGCGTTTCTGGAGCTCAAAATGCGTCCGGGATTTTGATCGCCTCCACCGGTCTTCTGGCCCACTGTGCGTTGTGCGTTGGTAAAACTGAAGCATACAACTACGCACGCTGGAAGTCCAAAGCGCATGCATTTAGATAGGCGGGAGAAGAGGGGACGGAGAACTAACGCTTGAAGAAAGGCGTAAAAGTGCGCTTCAGTTCTACCAGTGCAGTAGACTCCAAAGAGCACTCTGCCTCTCTCGCACCGCAACGCGACGCCCCCTGAGATCGAAAGAGGCAGAACGTCGAAGCCCGCACTGTCAAACTTCCGTGTGCCCCATGCTTGGCCCCATGTGCGCTGCTGCGGTCCCAGCTGACTGAATCCGCCCTGTCGCTCCGTCTCTCTCGCACTTATAAGCGACGCCCTACGGGCAGTGCGAGTGCGAGCGAGACAGAGCGAAAACAGGACCGCGCGGAACGAATTGCAAGAACGACAGTGACGGCGGCGTTTTCGGCGGGAAACGCGCGCGGAATCCGTTCTCACGTCGCGTCGCGCGGGATGGCCGCGTCTCTGTGTGTCCCCCGGCACCGCCTTTGGCACCGCCCGGCCCAGCCCGGCGAGGATAAGGAGTGCTTATCAAAATCGCCTGGGATTAGAAGTCGCGGGGGGAGTGGGAGGGGAGGGGAGGCGTTTAGATAGTCGCGCGTGTCATCGACGCTGCTCTTCAGGGTCTTCATAGCGCGCGAACTGCAGACTGATGCCGAAGGACCGTTTCGTCGCTCTGTCTCTCTCGCACCCGTACGCAACGCCCCATGAGTGCGACAGAGACAGAGCAGGCGATCCTTCGGAGTCAAGGCGGCACAGTCCCCAGGACTCGGAATGGAGGACCGCTTGCCGCCACTTGTTTTATCTGCAGACTGATTCGTCGACCTGTCTCACTCGCACCTATGCGGAACGCCCCATGAGTGCGAGAGAGACAGAGCGACGACGACACCTAAAACGTTTCGTTCAGAATCGCTCTCCAGCGGATCTTTTTCAGAACGCGCCGCGGCGGTGAGCGGATGAGCGGGAAGTGTGAGAAGGGGGAAGGAAGGGGGAGGAGGCGGGTGGGGGGGGGTCATGCCAGAGCCACGATCTTTGCGAAATTACACCCTTTGCGCCGTGAACGCACCTATAGGCGTGCGACGGCGGCGTATCTGTCCGTCCGCCTCGGCGCCGCACAGTGGGCCAGAAGACCGGTGGAGGCGGCCAAAACTCTAGACGCGTTTTGAGCTCCAGAGTCGCTAAATGGGACTCGAACCGAACGTGTGGCCCCACCAATGGATTCCTCGTTCGGAGAGTAATCCATTGGTGGGGTTACACGTTCGGTTCGAGTCCTGTTCAGCGACTCTGGAGCTCGAAACGCGTCTAGAGTTTTGGCCGCCCCCACCGGTCTTCTGGCCCACTGTGCGCCGCGCGTCAAATTGCGGCTTTTGGGCGACTTCGCCTTACTTACATTGGCGGTGCGTTCCAGCTTCCTGTCCTCCATCACGCTGATGGGGCAGCCCGCCGAGGTGTACCTGTTCGGGCCGCAGCTCTGGCTCTTCGGGGTGGCGGCCTTCCTCGCCATCCCCGTCATCAACTACGTCATGATCCCGTTCTTCCACAAGCTGCAGATCACGTCGGCCTACGAGGTGAGTGGCAGCCAACTGCAGCTCTGCAACAGCGCGTTCGACGTCATGTGACGTCATGTGACGTCATAGGGCCAGTTGGGGTAATTATGGGACACGGGGTAAAATTGGGACAGCTGATTCTTAGTCAAGAATCGAGATTTTAGAACTTGTGCCGTAGCAAATGTTATAAAAACATCACATTTGGTTTGTCATGCGTTCAAAAATGTCAAATTTTGACTAAGAATCAGCTGTTTCATTTTTACCCCGTGTCCCATAATTACCCCAACTGACCCTATTCATTTGATTGCAAGCACATCTATGATTTGTCAAGTTGATCCAACTGTGTACTAAGTACACATTTGATCGTGCAGTGTCACGTTGAAACGAAAGTGACATTGTACCAGATTGTACTGTAGTCACACGAATGTGACAAAAGTTACATTCTAATGCATACATGAAGCCAACGCCTCGTCGAATAACAGAATCGGACGAAACAAAGGAGTAATGTTGCCATTTTACTCGCTCTTCCAGTACTTCGGCATGAGGTTCGGCCGCAACGTGCAGCGCCTGGCCTCGGTGCTGTTCACCGTCCAAATGGTGAGTCTCTCGTCCCTCTTGTCCAGACTTCTCCAGCAGACTGATTCCGAGAGTCCTTTCCGCCGCTCTGTCCCTCTCGCACCTATACGGGCCGCCCGTGAGTGCGGGAGAGACATGAGCGACGACAACGACTCTCGGAATCAGTCTCCGGTTTCTGAGAATCGCTGCTTCCGGGTCGCAATCGCCGCCATCCTTCTTGTCTTGTCGAACGAAAGGGAAGGCCTCCCCGCTCGTGATGAGATAAGAGCGTGTTCGGCCGCTACACTGGAGGGGCCGAGTGCAACGAGTGCGTGCTGACGCCATTGTCGTTGTTTCTAGATCCTGTACCTGGCCCTGGTGCTGTACGCCCCCGCGCTCGCGCTGAGTCAAGGTGAGGCTGCTGACCAACTTTTTTCTTTCTTTCTTTCTTTCTTTCTTTCTTTCTTTCTTTCTTTCTTTCTTTCTTTCTTTCTTTCTTTCTTTCTTTCTTTCTTTCTTTCTTTCTTTCTTTCTTTCTTTCTTTCTTTTAACATATTTTTACTGGCCAGAGTAACAAAAACCAGTAACGGAGTAAAACTTTAGAAGATTAACAACAATTGTCTTTGAGTGCCATAAAAACGAAAAGTGCCGACCCTCCCCAGTAAACGCCATGTCGGTGTGTTTCCAGTGACTGGACTCAACACGCTGTTCGTCGTTACCGCCATGTACGTGGTCGTCATCTTCTACACCACCATCGTAAGTACATCTGCAAACATGAAATTTTCATTTAAAAATCAAATTAAAATTTGAACAAACTGATTTACTTTGATTTTTATACAAAGAAATAGTTCGTAAATTTCGAAGTATTTTCTTTGTAAGCTTAATGTGTGCTCAAAATACTTGATTATGACAAGCTGCTTATCTTTTTAAGGCCTCAAATAGTTTGTAAAGGTTTTCAAAGTGTAAACAATGAATTTGGGAAAGACACGTGAAGATTTTGTTCTGTTCGTGTTTCCAGGGCGGCATGAAGGCGGTGGTCTGGACGGACACCTTCCAGGTGGTGGTGCTGTACGTGGCCATGTTCGCGGTGCTCATCAAGGGCACCGTCGAGGTGGGCGGCCTGGACACGGTGTGGCGCCGCAACGTGGAGCACGGCCGCGGAGACCTGTTCAAGTAAGGGCCCACACATTTCGCCTCTGTTTTTAGCAGATGATACCTTTACACTTTTTACACACCTAAACCTACAAAGACACATTAAATTTGATACAACTCGACTGCGTAACTAAACGTGCATTTTTGTTTGCAGGTGGACCACGGACCCCACCGAGCGCTACTCCGTGTGGTCGTCGTTCGTGGGCGCGGCGGTGCTGCACATGGCGGTGTACGGCGCCAACCAGCTGCAGGTGCAGCGCTACCTCACCGTGCCCTCCGTCAAGCAGGCGCGCCAGATGATCTGGATCAACTGCGCGGGCTGGACGGTGGTGGTGCTGCTCACGGTGTACGCCGGCATGCTCATCTTCGCCAAGTACGCCGCGTGCGACCCCATCACGTCGGGGCTCGTCACCAAGGCCGACCAGCTGTTCCCGCTCTTCGTCATGGACTCCGTCGGCGACCTGCCGGGCTTCCCGGGCCTCTTCGTCGCGGGCATCTTCAGCGCCGGGCTCAGGTAGGCGGTCTGAGAGAGCCCTTCGTCGCTCTGTCTCTCTCGCGCCCCTACAAACGCCACGTGAGAGCGACGGAGACAGAGCGACGCACAGTGGGCCAGAAGACCGGTGGAGGTGGCCAAATTCGAGACGCGTTTTGAGGTCCAGAGTCGCTAACCGGGGCTCGAACCGGACGTGTGACCCCACCAATGGACTGCCCTCCAAACGAGGAATCCATTGGTGGGGTCACTCGTTCGATTCGAGCCCTGTTTAGCGACTCTGGAGCTCAAAACGCGTCTAGAATTTTGGCCGCTTCCACCGGTCTTCTGGCAAATCCACTGTGCGACGCGGTGCGACGATCTGGCCCGAACCGGCATAAGATCAGTTGTGGTCTAGCCTTTCAAGTCAAGTCAAGTCAAGATTCTTCGGGATCACGGTGTAGGGAGATACGGGGGGACACTAGGCGCTGCGGAGTGAAGCCCGTTTCTGGACGTTCCGTAGTTCCAAACGCTCCGCCAGGATGCGCTGTTCCCCATGTGGGCCGAGGTGGGGGGGGAAGTGGGCCGGCTCACTATTGGCTGGCGGCTGGCTACCGCGCACCGCCGCTCACCGCCGCGCACCGCCGCCAGCGGCCAGCCAATAGTGAGCCGGCCCACTTCCCCCTCCACCTCGGCCCACTTGGAGAACAGCGCTACTAGCGGAGCGTTCGGAACTACGAAACGGGCCAAAAACGAGCTTCACTCGGCCGCGTGGCGGAGGGCCCGAGTGTCCCACCGTATCTCCCTACACCGTGTTCGGGATCAAGGCCACCGACCGCACAGCAGGTCCATGCGGCGCACAGGGGGCGATTAGACCCCAAAATCGCGACAAAAGATAAAAAATTAAATGTTACTATTCATAAATTCTCTGGTTGCCCATCTGTAGATAACCCCTCTAGCCACCTCTCCCGCATGGTTTTGAACCTTCGCACTGGTTCGATCGCTCGTAGCGACTTATTGTTTCTCACCCTCTTGCGTAACAGTGCAGCGGCACCCGAACATGTAGATTTCTTTTCAGGCTCGCCGTCGTGAAAATAAGGAACTTAGTGTATTCATTGGCTGGGTGATGATAATTTGAAGTACTGGCTACATTTTGAGCTGTAAAGAACCTACTGACAAGCTGAGAAAGAGTTTAAAATTGTAACTTCAAAACCAGTCGTAATGCGACTGCGAGGTTAGGTTCCGTCGTAATCTTTAAATTGAGATATCTTTTGACTCGCGTCGACTCGTATTAAAAACTCGGCATGAGTCGATAGCTTAGACCGTGTTTATTGTTCTCCAAGTGAGATTAGCTGCTCATGTCTGCCCCCTTTTTGTTAGCAATCGTTTATTTTGCACTAGTTGCGACCAGCCAGCCGTCTGCTAACGTCTCTTATTTTGTTGAAATATTGTATAAGAATGACTTTATCAGATATTTTATGAATGGCATCACAATCAATTCAGCATAAAACGTTAGAAAACACACAAAACAAACTATTTTAATGTTCGAAATTTTTTTTCAAAATTTTTTTTTTTTTTCCTGGAAAACCATTACCGCCAATGAACTAAGCAATGCCGAAAACAACTGGATACTAAGTTTCAGATCGATAAAAGTTACGCCTGATTTTTGTCGCGGTTTTGGGGTCCAATCGCCCACTGTGCGGCGGGAGTGCCTACCCTTGGCTTCGCAGGCGCTTAGCTCGCTGATTCCGAGGGTCGTTTTCGTCGCTCTGTCTCTCCGACACCTGAACAGAAGACCCGGCTATCTTTTCAGAGCGATTTGAGAACCGGCTACCTTTTCAGAGCGATCCGAGAATCGGCTATCTTTTCAAAGCGACCTGAGAACCGGCTATCTTTTACGAGCGATCCGAGAACCGGCTATCTTTTCAGAGCGGTCCGAGAACCGACTTACTGACTTTTTTTAAGAAATTGAGTTTCTTACATTAAAATAATCCGCATCACCTGTTCTATCGATTAATGTAAGAAACTCAATTTCTTAAAAAAAGTCAGTTAGCCGGTTCTCGGACCGCTCTGAAAAGATAGCCGGTTCTCGGATCGCTCGAAAAGATAGCCGGTTCTCAGGTCGCTTTGAAAAGATAGCCGATTCTCGGATCGCTCTGAAAAGGTAGCCGGTTCTCAAATCGCTCTGAAAAGATAGCCGGGTCTTCTGTTCAGGTGTCGTCTCTTGCACCCATAAGGGACGCCCCATGGGTCCGAGAGAGACAGAGCGACGAAAACGGCTCTCGGAATGAGTCCTCTGGCGAGCACCTCGCTGACGTCCTCCTCGTCCCTCCGCAGCACCGTGTCCACGGGGCTCAACTCCCTGGCCGCCATCTGGTTTGCGGAGCTGGACGGCACGCAGTTCAAGGCCAAGCTGTCGGACCGCGGCCGCGGCCTCACCGTCAAGATGTTCTCGCTGGGCTTCGGCCTGCTGTCCTTCGCGCTCGTCTTCCTGGTGCCCTTCATGTCCGGCCTGGCGCCCGTCGCCATCGCGCTGTCCTCCTTCTTCTCCGGCACGCTCTTCGGCCTCTTCATGCTGGGCATGTACGTGCCCTTCGCCAACGCCGTGGTGAGTCCAGCACGCTTATCCCTTTTCCGAGGGCCGCCTCACAGTGGGCCAGAAGACCGACGGAGGCGCTCAAAACTCTAGACTCGTTTTGAGCTCCAGAGTCGCTAAATGGGACTCGAACCGAGCGTGTGACCCCGCCAATGAATCGCTTTCCGAACAGGCAATCCATTGGTGGGGTCCACGCTCGATTCGAGTCCCATTTGGCGACTCTGGAGCTCGAAACGCGTCTAGAGTTTTGGCCGCCGGCGCCGGTCTCCTGGGAACTCCAAGCTGACACACTCTTTCCGTTCCGCAGGGCGCCACGGTGGGGCTGCTGGCGGGCATCGGCGTGGTGGGCTGGATGACGATGGGCGCGCAGTGGGCGACCGACGCGGGGCAGATCGTAAACCCCCGTGCTGCCGCTGTCCACCGGGGGCTGCGCCGCCATGAACCTGACCGTCGTCCTGCTCGACGCACCGTAAGTACTTGCCCGAAACTCTCAGCGGCCACAAAATTTGGCGAGATCCATAAGATTACATCGGCGGTCAATGTCTCGCGGATCGCGTACTGTACGACACTGCACAGTAGTAGTTGCAGCACAGTGGGCCAGGAGACCGGCGGAGGCGGCCAAAATTCTAGACGCGTTTTGATCTCCAGAGTCGCTGAAAAGGACTCGAACCGAACGTGTGACCTCACCAATCGATTGCTCTCCGAGCGAAAAATCCATTGGTGGGTCACACGCTTGGAGGGCAATACATTGGTGAGGTCATACGTTCGGTTCGAGTGCGGTTCAGCGACTCTGGAGATCAAAAAGCGTCTAGAATTTTGTGCCGCCCGCCGGTCTTCTGGCCCACTGTGCTGCAATCACTACTGTACAGTGTCGTACAGTACGCGATCCGCGAGACATTGACCGCCGATGTAATCTTTTGGATCTCGCCAAACTCTGTGGGTCAAGCTATGAGGCCGAAAGCGGCCATTGACACGGCACGGCGCGGGTTGGCCTGGCGCCCAGCCGGCTGCTTGGCGGGTTTGCCTACCCCGGACTTCGCAGGCGCCTGGCCCGGCGGCGGGGCTGCCCTCAGCGCAGGGGTCTCAGAGTGAGCATGGCTTGCGGGCCGCATAGAGAGAGAGAAAGGCAAAGAAGAGAGATAGGAGATGAAATGAGTGAGGGGGCGAAGGTGTGACACGCCGGACTCGACCCAGCCGCACGGCAGCGGCGACGGCGGCGACCCAGCGCTGCGCTGCCTCGGCCCCCACGGACTGACTGTCTGTCCTTTTCCTCCCATATGGGCCCTTTTGGGGTGCGAGAGAGATGCCGCCAGCCACGGCGAGCCGGCCGGTTCACGTTTTCAGCTGGGCGACGAGGCAGCGCGCCGCCGCCCAGCCGCCGCTGACTGAGCCTGGCCGTGCGGCCCCAGTCTGGCCCGCCTATCTTTCCATTGCGGCCCGCTGCGGCCGTGTGGCACCCCAGCTCCGGGGCCCGGGCCGGCCCGCGGGGCCCCCCTCTGAGACCCCTGCCTCAGCGCCCTGCCACAAGTGCAGTGGTAGAATCGGAGCGTACACTTTTACGCCTTTCTGCCAGCGTAGTGGCTGTTGCGCTTGGCTTGCAACGTCGTTCTTAGTTCCAAAAATGTTTCTTTTTTTTTAGAAAAAATAGTTGAAAATTTTCAAGTATTTTTTTTGTAAGTTTAATGTGGCTCAAAATACGGATTTGACAATCTTACTTTTTAACCTAAATAGTTTGTAAAGGTTTTCAAAGTGTAAACAAAAAATTTGGGAAAGACACGTGAAGATTTTGTTCTGTTCTTGTTTCCAGGGCGGCATGAAGGCGGTGGTCTGGACGGACACCTTCCAGGTGGTGGTGCTGTACGTGGCCATGTTCGCGGTGCTCATCAAGGGCACCGTCGAGGTGGGCGGCCTGGACACGGTGTGGCGCCGCAACGTGGAGCACGGCCGGGGAGACCTGTTCAAGTAAGGGCCCACACTTTCCCTCTGTTTTTAGCAGAGATCCTTTACACTTTTTACACACCAAACCTACAAAGACACTTTTAAAATTTATAAACTCGACTGTGTAACTAAACGGCATTTTTTTGCAGGTGGACCACGGACCCCACCGAGCGCTACTCCGTGTGGTCGTCGTTCGTGGGCGCGGCGGTGCTGCACATGGCGGTGTACGGCGCCAACCAGCTGCAGGTGCAGCGCTACCTCACCGTGCCCTCCGTCAAGCAGGCGCGCCAGATGATCTGGATCAACTGCGCGGGCTGGACGGTGGTGGTGCTGCTCACGGTGTACGCCGGCATGCTCATCTTCGCCAAGTACGCCGCGTGCGACCCCATCACGTCGGGGCTCGTCACCAAGGCCGACCAGCTGTTCCCGCTCTTCGTCATGGACTCCGTCGGCGACCTGCCGGGCTTCCCGGGCCTCTTCGTCGCGGGCATCTTCAGCGCCGGGCTCAGGTAGGCGGTCTACTTCGCGAGTCCTTCGTCTCTCTCACACCCCTACAAACGCCACGTGAGAGCGACGGAGACAGAGCGACGCACAGTGGGCCAGAAGACCGGTGGAGGTGGCCACAATTCGAGACGCGTTTTGAGCTCCAGAGTCGCTAACCACGCTCGAACCGAACGTGTGACCCCACCAATGGACTACCTTCCAAACGAGGAATCCATTGGTGGGGTCACTCGTTCGATTCGACCCCCGTTTAGCGCTCTGGAGCTCAAAACGCTCTAGAATTTTGGCGTTTCCCACCCATCCTCGCCCGCATGGCAAGCCCTGCGGCGGAGTGCCTACCCTTGGCTTCGCAGGCGCTTAGCTCGCTGATTCCGAGGGTCGTTTTCGTCGCTCTGTCTCTCTTGCACCCATAAGGGACGCCCCATGGGTCCGAGAGAGACAGAGCGACGAAAACGGCTCTCGGAATGAGTCCTCTAGGCGAGCACCTCGCTGACGTCGTCCTCCTCGTCCCTCCGCAGCACCGTGTCCACGGGGCTCAACTCCCTGGCCGCCATCTGGTTCGCGGAGCTGGACGGCACGCAGTTCAAGGCCAAGCTGTCGGACCGCGGCCGCGGCCTCACCGTCAAGATGTTCTCGCTGGGCTTCGGCCTGCTGTCCTTCGCGCTCGTCTTCCTGGTGCCCTTCATGTCCGGCCTGGCGCCCGTCGCCATCGCGCTGTCCTCCTTCTTCTCCGGCACGCTCTTCGGCCTCTTCATGCTGGGCATGTACGTGCCCTTCGCCAACGCCGTGGTGAGTCCAGCACGCTTATCCCTTTTCCGAGGGCCGCCTCACAGTGGGCCAGAAGACCGACGGAGGCGCTCAAAACTCTAGACTCGTTTTGAGCTCCAGAGTCGCTAAATGGGACTCGAACCGAGCGTGTGACCCCGCCAATGGATTGCTCTTCGAACAGGGAATCCATTGGTGGGGTCACACGTTCGATTCGAGTCCCATTTGGCGACTCTGGAGCTCGAAACGCGTCTAGAGTTTTGGCCGCCGGCGCCGGTCTCCTGGCCTCCACTGGGAACTCCAAGCTGATACACTCTTTCCGTTCCGCAGGGCGCCACGGTGGGGCTGCTGGCGGGCATCGGCGTGGTGGGCTGGATGACGATCGGCGCGCAGTGGGCGACCGACGCGGGGCAGATCGTGAACCCCGTGCTGCCGCTGTCCACCGACGGCTGCGCCGCCATGAACCTGACCGTCGTCCTGCTCGACGCACCGTAAGTACTTGCCCGAAACTCTCAGCGAACAGTGGGCCACAAAGTTTGGCGAGATCCAAAAGATTACATCGGCGGTCAATGTCTGGCGGATCGCGTACTGTACGACACTGCACAGTAGTGGCTGCAGCACAGTGGGCCAGAAGACCGGCGGAGGCGGCCAAAATTCTAGACGCGTTTTGATCTCTAGAGTCGCTGAACAGGACTCGAACCAAACGTGTGACCTCACCAATCGATTGCTCTCCGAGCGAAGAATCCATTGGTGGGGTCACACGCTTGGAGGGCAATACATTGGCGAGGTCATACGTTCGGTTCGAGTGCGGTTCAGCGACTCTGGAGATCAAAACGCGTCTAGAATTTTGTGCCGCCCGCCGGTCTTCTGGCCCACTGTGCTGCAACCACTACTGTACAGTGTCGTACAGTACGCGATCCGCGAGACATTGACCGCCGATGTAATCTTTTGGATCTCGCCAAACTCTGTGGGTCAAGCTGTGAGGCCGAAAGCGGTCCATTGACACGGCACGGCGCGGGTTAGGCGTCGCGCCCAGCACGGCTGCTTGGCGGGTTTGCCTACCCTGGACTTCGCAGGCGCCTGGCCCGGCGGCCGGGCTGCCCTCAGCGCCCTGCCACAAGTGCAGTGGTAGAATCGAAGCGTACACTTTTACGCCTTTCTGCCAGCGTAGTGGCTGTTGCGCTTGGCTTCAAGCGTCGTTCTTAGTTCCAGACTATCTAAATGCTTGGGAGAATTTCTTCCCCACACTTGACTTCAAGCGTAAAAGTTGGATGCTTGAATGAAGCCGACAACAACGAACGCCTCAGTGCTCCCTGTGGCTCACGCCGGCTTCCGTCGCGTTCCAGGGTGCAGAAGGAGTACGCCATGGTGCTGTACCGCGTGTCCTTCCTGTGGTACTGCACGCTGTCCCTCATCATCACGGTGGCCGCCGGGGTGGCGGCCAGCGCGGTGGCCTCGTTGTTCTCGCGCAGCGACGCGCCGCCGTCCGACTCGTCGACGCGCGCCGCGTCCGCGTCGCCGTCCTGGACGGCCGTGCAGTCGTCCGAGGCCAGCCTGGAGGACGACCACGGCCCCGCCAAGCTGCTGGTGCGCTCGGGTGACAAGACGTCGGGCGCCTTGCAGGTGAGCGTCATGGGCAGGCTGCCCTCCGTGGCGCGCAACGCCAGCCTCAACGGCCTCAACGGCCGCCAGCTGTAGTCTTCTGTCTCTCTCGCACCCCGACGGCACGTCCCGTGAGTGCGAGTGAGACAGAGCGACGGCTTTGGAAACAGCCCGCCGCGGCGCTGCGTGACGTCATCGCGCGTCCCGTGACGTGCGGAGTGCTTTCCCTGCGTGTCGCGCAGCGCGCCCCGCCCGCCTCCAGGAGCCTGCAGACTCATTCGTCTCGTCGCTCTGTCTCTCTCGCACCTGTACGGGACGCCCCATGAGTGCGAGAGAGACAGAGCGACGAAAACGACTCTCGGAAGCAGTCCGCTGGCCGGCCTGGACTCATTCGGCCGGCCGGCCGGGATTACCGGATCGCTGGCCGGCTGCCTGCCAGCGCGGTCTGCCTGCCAGCGCGGTCTGCCCGGCAGGCCATGCGTCACGGGGCGGCAAGGCGGCCAGCCAAGAGGCGCCCATTCAAACTGTGTTTTGGAAACCCGGCGCGCCGGCCCGCGCCGCTGCACGTACGCCACCGTAAACAAACCGACGTCGGCATGGCCGGCCAGTCCACGGTCACTCCACTGGGTGACCGACTGGGACGTTCATTGAACCGCGAACCTCGAACCGCGAACCGGCGAACCGCGAGACAAGAAAGCGCAGCCCGCGCGACGTGTCAAAAGTCCCATTCGGGTGTATGTGCTGTCCGGTATCGCCTTGCTGAGTTTTTGTTGTCGTTCTCGGTGTTGTTGTTGTCCAAAACTTTGCTTCTCGCTGCCTCTATACGTGTTTGTTTGTGCCATCATGCCTGTGTGCAAAGCACGCAGTAGAAAAGTGGCGCGGAAGGTAACGCTTGCTGGAGGGAAACATTGTCTGTGATACAAGTGTAATACTGCTATGTTGATTAAGTTTACCTTTTAAAGGCCCCTTTGCAACTAAACCCAAACACATTGATATCAAAGGTAAAAACCTAACAAGGTTTTTTTCCAATCATTTGAAAATTTTTTTAAAATTTTTAATAATCCTTTTTTTTAGGTTAAAATTTTTAAATTTTTTATTTTTTTTTTACTTTTTATTTTTAATTTTTTTTTTTTCATTAAAAAATTAAGTGCCTTTACCATGACACAATGAATCGTGTTCGATATGCGTTCAAAAGACTGTAACGTAAGTTTTTCAAATTCATTCTCAGAGGAGTTCAGACAAAGCCCTTCATTATAAAGACAACATTTCTGGGGACTATCTCACCTGTGTTCAACCTCCAATGATGTGTTCTCAAGCTTGTCTGAACTGAAACTATAGTTTCATTCAATAATTAAGTGTTTCATCCTTTTCAAGTTTTTCATGTTGATGGTTGATGTCTTCGCAGTGAACGCGAGTGGCCTTCGCTTCAATGAACACTGTCTTGTACACGGCAAAAACGGTTCCTGGTTTCTGGTTTTCCCAGGAACCCCCTGGAAATCGCCTATGTCTTCGCCATAGGGCTCCTGGGAAAACCAGGTGCCGTTTTTACCGTGTAGTGTTTTCCTCTCATTGTTTTCTTTGCTCTTTTAGTATGAGAGGTTGAGCTAGATGAGCTAGATTGGTTAGAGTTTTGTTTTTGGCAATGATGTTTCTAAAACATTGGTTGTTTTTACTTATTGTGGCTTTTTTATTGTGTTTGTGTTTTGTATTTTTTTTAAATGCCTATCTTTAAGATAACTGTGATAGCCACATAATACCCTGTTTTTGTAAATCGCTCGTAGAAGTTACGTTTAAATGTGTGTCGGTTTAATTATATGCTGCTAGTGTGTTTCAGTTGTCCTTGCTTTTTGTACTGTGTTGCAAGCCGATAACCAAGTGATCTGTGTCTGTGTTTTGTGATGTGCTTACTTTAAAAATAAAAAAATAATCCAATACAGCAACATGACCTTGCCCCATTTAATTCAACATTCATGGCACGGTGCTATACCTCACCGTAGACCTAACGTCACAGATTATGCCGTTACGTAACACCTCTCGAGTACGGTTACAGTGTACCTCCATCTCGTTCCTCATTCGCACAGATAAACAAACCAGATAAAGATGCGGCCACGAAGGGGCCAAATAGCATAACAAAGACGCCACGTCATTGGAATTTGAATTTGCACGTTTTCTGACTCGTTCTTTTAAAGGCACTACTCCTTACCATGGTGCTTAAAAACTATTTCAGAACAAAGAAAATAATTTTCAATCTAGCAATTTGCTATTTTTTTTATCGCAAAGTAATAAGTTTGTTCCTTTTGTGCTCAAAATACTTTTCCTGTTTTTTTTTTGAGTGAGGGGCGGAACACGCTAAATCAAGAGCACCTTGCCCAACCAAAACGCCAAAAATGAGACAGTAGCGATGCTGAGAGTGTGCAATAAAGCACTTGCTCCCGTCGAACGCTCGAACGTCGTGCTTCCTCCGGTTGTAGGATGCTCATGACGCGAGCGGCATCGCCGAGGCATTGCCGAGGCATTGGCGCAGCAGCAGCACGTTCGTGCCGCGCGCATATCGCCCGCGTAACGTATCAGAGCACTATCACGCCCCGGTAAAGCAAGGGACAGTGACAGAAAAAGAGCTGTCAAGCTGTGTTCGTCGAACGTGTTCTATAGGCACTGCAAGTAGAGAGACTGGACGTAGAGAGACTTCAGAACGGGCAAAACTTCAAATGACATAGAGAGACCTCAAATAGAGAGATTGAGAATACTAGAGAGACTTAAAAGAAAGATTTCAAATACTAGATAGACTTCAAATAGAGAGTTTGCAAATACTAGGGAGACTTAAAATAGAGAGATTGCAAATACTAGAGAGACTTCAAATAAAGAGATTGCAAAAACTAGAGAGACTTTAGAGAGATTGCAAATACAAGAGAGACCTTAAATAGAGAGACACCAAATAGAGAGACTTCAAATGGAGATACTTCCAAAAGAGAAATAGTTAGTCTGCAAAGTCTTCAATTAGAGTGTCTGAGTCTCTCTAGCTGCGAACCGCGCAGCCCAAACCCCGTTCCGCCCCGCCCCACCCTCACCCTCCCTCCGGCCAAGCTCACGGACTGCATGTCGTGGCGCGGAGCCGTCTGGAGCCGCAACCCGCGGACCCGCACCGCACCGGAGCGCACCGCACCGGAGCGCACCGGAACGCACCGGAACAGCACGGCGGCAGAGCGTGCGCGCACCGCGTTAAGGCGACACTCGCTGTGCCATTGGTGCCGGCATCTCGGGATCGCGAGGCCGCCGCCGACGCAGAGATAGCGACGGCGCGACCTAAACGGGACTACACTACAAGTACGTTGGTCAGTCTCCTTGCCTCTCCGGTGCAGCTCCGATTTGAATGCCAAAATTTGGCCTTCTGGCCTCGCATCGTCCTCTGAGAGGGCCGAAGTGCCAAAATTTGGCGTCCAGAGACCCAAACTTTGGCATGCTCCGAGAGCGATCCGGGCCCAGCAGGCGCGGCACTCGAAACGGAGGGCTAGGAAACTTACCAATAAATTTCCAGTGCATTAACTGCTGCTGGGACGCGAAGGTCAAATCGACCTTTCCGATCGATCACTAAGCTTTCACAGTGCATTGCGAATTCGCGATGGCCGGAATCAGGCGCTTTGAACCAAGCACCTCTGTTCGAACAGGACAGACCAAGCATCGTGGTCCATTTTTCGAGCGCATTCCTATTCTGGGCTTCAGACTCATTCCCTTGGGGATGCCTGGCTGCCTGGCCTGGCGCTGCAGCCATCTGCTGAAGAGTCGTCTCGTCCTCGTCGCTCTGTCTCTGTCGCACTCATGGAGCTCTCCGTAAGGGTGCGAGAGAGACAGAACGACGAACTGCTCTTCCGAATCACTCGGCAGACAGCTGACGGCTTGCCCGCTTGCGCGTCGCCGTCGAATCAGATAAAGGGAGTCAATGACTCAATGACGACCGCGGAGGGGAAAGAGGGGGTGGGGGAGAATCTCGCGGTCGCGCAAACCCTCAAACCTTTATCTGGATGCGCGGCTGTAATGGATTCATCTTCCGCGTAATGATTGCGTGTGTGTAAGTGTGTCTGTGTGAGTGTTGTGGTGTGTGCGTGTGTGTGTGTGTGGGGGAGTAAACTTTGATGTAACCTTGACTCTCAAGATGTTTCTGCGTGACATTGATGTTAACAAGAATCTCATTACATGACAGCACGTCAGAGGTAAAGGGTCTTCAGTACTCATGACTAGTAACTTAATTACGAATAAATTTCTCGGTATTAGGATTCATTCCAATCACACACTAGTTAGAAACAGCTTAGTATTGTGACTACACGGTCATTCTTCACAAGGAAATTGAGGGTGTGCTTCATTCTTCGTCCTCCATCTCCGTTTTAGGGTTTTGATTTGACGTTATTTGACGGCGTGTGTTTGTTCCAGGGCGTGGCCAACCCCCTGGCGGATGACATTCTGCCGGACGAGAAGGCCGCCGCCGGTCGCGTGTCGAAGGACCTGCGGGCGGCGTCTGCCGCCCCAGCCGACGGACAAGTCGAGCGGTAGCAACAGAAGCGCATGGAGTGCGTCAACGACACTGTAAACGACTAGCGCCTGCAGAGGCGCGGGTAGGCCACCTTTCGTGCACGAGTGTGCGTTGGGTGGCCTAACGGCGTCGCCGCAGGCGCTACCAGCGCGAGTCAGTAAGCGGCCAGCTGGGCCGGCGTCCGTCTGTCCGTCTCTCCGCCTCTCTCTCTCTCTCTCTCTCTCTCTCTCTCTCTCTCTCTCTCTCTCTCTCTCTCTCTCTTCTTCTCTCTCTCTCTCTCTGTCTCCATCCGCCTGCACGCTGCGTTGCCTATCCTCGCTCTGCCGGGCGCGCCCGGCTGCTGCGACTCCGCGGCCCTGCTCGTTCGTCTGCAGACTGATTCCGAGAGTCGTTTTCGTCACTCTGTCTCTCTCGCACTCATACGTGATGCCCCACGGGTGCGAGAGAGACAGAGCGACGAAAACGACTCTCGGAATCAGTCTGCTGCCCGCCAGAGGGCATCGCCCTGCGCCGATCTAGGGCCGTCGCGGTCTTAGCGCCGGAAAGAGGAGGAAGGCGCGTCGACGTCGCGAAGACAAAAAATTCCAAGCCTGAATTATGGAGAGGTTGTAAAAGGACTGAATGAAATGAAATATTTAACTCTACGAGAACACGAAGTACAAACACAATCGCAGTTGAGAATTTATTTCGTGAATTTACGTTTCATGTCAGGTTGGCGACCCTTCCGGCACTGTTTCATCGTGCGCAATATTCGCCTACTCGCTCACAGAAGAAAATGTCGATCCGAAACGACAAAAAACAACAACATTTCTGCTGATGAGAGTGCCGTCATAAAAAAACGTAATCCACTAAAAAGGAAGCCGGTGGGGGGAGTAGTTAGGGATTTTGTTTTCTTATGTTGGCACTCCCGTCGACCGGACTGTTGTTTGTGTTGATTCCATTGTCGCGTGTGATTTATTATTTTCTTTTAGAACAGTTTCACAAGTGTTCAAGATATTTTCGTTTTTGAAAAGAATGGGTGAATTCCGTCGGCAGTGGAGTGGACGTGCTTTGCGTGTGTCGACATGTCGCAACGTTCGAACATTGAGGCTAGTCGAGGGGGATGGCTGCCGACTAACCCCTCATTTGGAGGCCTTTCATGGCTCAGCCAGACTCTGCATAGGAGTGTGTTGCTGTGTGGTGTTTTGTGGCCTGAAACCATACAGCAGGCGGAAGAGAAACAAGAAACCTATTGGAAAACAGAAGTATCAGCCAGGCAGAATATACATACATGTATGGTGAGTTTTAAATCCTTATCTGCACATGGGGTCGCAATCGACAACACTTGAGTCAAGCGGTGAATCTTTTGTGTGCCTTGCTCAGTGTGGTATGAGACTTTTAAAAAAATGTCCAGTTTCTGGACAACGTTTTAAGATGCCCACTGTTGGGGCACCCAAGGGTACCTGTTTGTGGGCGACCAAGGTGCCGAGGAACTTGGCAACTTTGTCGCTGTCCAGACAATGGGCACCCTTTGCTCACTCTATAGCAATTAAATCACACATGGTCTGTCATGGGTGGAGGCCAGTGCAGAATGATTTGTAGACCCTGGAATCAGGCGACAAAAGTGCCCTGGAACATAGTGTAAGGGGGTGCTATTTGACGCCTTTAAAATTGGAGCGGTTTACCTAGGCACTCAGTCTCAGGGAATTCCAATGCCACATTTAAAGTGTACTTCCATGGCCACAGAACTTGTCGGTTTTTCTACTTTTTCCTATTTTTTTCTGAGCACTTCCACTGTCGCGACGGCGCCGTCCTGTGCACTGTGGGCACTGTGGGCACTGGGCCCGGCGTCGGCCGGCCCGTTAGGTGGAGAGCGAGTGAAGTGAACAGGCGTCTTGCCCGAGCCCGACCCGCAGCGCGCGCCGGTCAGCGACCCCGCGGCCCGGCCGCAGCCTGTCTGCGCGGTCAGCGCGTCAGCGCGTCAGCGCGTCAGCTCGTCAGCACAGCGCTGACGCTGTCTCTCTCGCTCCCTCACCGGACGCCCCGCGAGTGCGAGAGAGACAGAGCAGTGAAGGTGATTGGGCCGCTGCGGATAGGAGAGGCCGATACGACTCAGTGGCGGATCCAGAAGCGACCCGGGGGGGGGGGGGGGGTAGCACTTTTAGCGTAGTACTTACAGGGCAAAGTAGCACTTTTTGCCTACCTTTCAGGCGGCTATCTAGGGGCTATGGAAGGACACCCCCCCCCCCTATCCGCACCAGATACGGCAGCCTGTATGCGTCAGCGGCGACAAATGGGCTCGCTAACTGGCTACCCCGCGTTCGAACCTGAGGACTGAGGTTGGCTACTCGTTCGCGACTCAGTGGGAATTTTTGTCAAACACTCGCTTCGTGGCCCCGTCGCTATCAGGGAGGGCTTCGTAACCTGGTTACCGTACTTGTAGGGTAGTCTCTTGCCTACCTGGCCATCCCGCGGTAGGCTACGTGTCGCTGGCTACGCCGCTGTGCGTTGCGTCACGGGTTGCCTACCGGGCGGAAGGGCCGTGGCTGCGCCGCACAGTGGGCCAGAAGACCGGTGGAGGCGGACAAACCTCTAGACGCGTTTTGAGCTCCTGCCTGAGGCCTCGAACCGAACGTGGACCCCACCAATGGATTCCTCGTTCGGAGAGCAGTCCATTGGTGGGGTCACACGTTCGGTTCGAGTCCCATTTAGCGACTCTGGAGCTCAAAACGCGTCTCGAGTTTTGTCCGCCTCCACCGGTCTTCTGGCCCACTGTGCGCCGTGGCTACGCCTACGGGCCGCCACGCCACGCCGCGCCCTGCGGCCTGCGGTCTTCGGCGGCCACTCACCTCCCGGCTCGGCTCTCGGCCCCTCGGCTCGGCGCGGTGCCGCGGTGCCGTGGCGTTGCCGCGCCCCGGCTGCTCCACTAGAAAAGGACGGGCCGTCTTGTCTTCCTTCTCTATCGCCGCGCTAGCCGCGCTGGATGGCGAGCGGAGCGCGGCGCGCGGCGCTGGAGGGGCACTGGAAGCCCCCCCCCCCCCCCCCCCGCCTCCAGGCGTGCCTCCAGGCGCGCCTCCAGGCCGGCCGGCCGGCTCCAGGCTCCCTCCACTCCAGGCGCTCCGGGCGGCGCGCGCTCCTGCAATGCAACCGCGCTGCTCCGCAAGGTCAAGTTCAAGACCAAGGCTCGTGACGTGGCGGAGCGGAGAGAGAGAGAGAGGCCGGGGAGTGAGTGCACGGGGCGACTCGCTCTGTCATGGCCCCTCGCCGTTTTCAGCCACAGCCTCCACACTGAGTTTTCTTGACTTAATCCACTAAACGTTTTGCTTCGTTTTGGTTTTCTGAATAAAATGTTTTAGTTTTACTTACGGCGCAGGGAAAAAAATCCTTTTAAGTTAATTTTTTTTCATCGTGGCGCTAGTTTTGACGTGCGAGGGGTTTGTCACTTCTTGCACTCATTATGCGCCCATATCCACACTTACTGGCATTTTACTAGTAAGTGCAAAACCCCTGTCAGTAGGCAATCTGCGGTAAAAGCGCCTGTAAGTTGGCATAAAACATTCACTGAAAACTTACCACGCTCGCTCTCAGTTGTACATTATTTCAGACAGTGGCGGACCCCGCGTTGACTTGGCAGGTGTTTCCTCGCTCGAACGACATTAGTTTCGAAGGTCAAAACAATTGAACAATAACAAGAAACCTTCATCTTGAGAATGGCCAACAGATGGGCACGTCCCGTGTTCTAGCAATTTCGTCAGACTCCTCAGTCGGCCCCACCGCGGCGCGCTTTTCGACAACAACACTAACGTCTATAATGATGATACGCCCTGCAGACTGAGAGTCTCGCTCTGTCTCTCTCGCACTCATGGGGCGTTCCGTACAGGTGCGAGAGAGACAGAGCGACTGCCGTCCGGCCGGCCGCCTCGTGCGCCGCGAGTTTTCACCAGAAAAGGACCCCTCTCCTCCGAGAGCGTCTCCCATTGGCTGCTTTTGCAGAGGCTGGCCGGACGGAAAGGCAGGCAGAGGACTGATTCCGAGAGTCGTTTTCGTCGCTCTGTCTCCGCACCTGTACGGGACGCCCCGTGAGTGAGAGGGAGACAGAGCGACGAAGACGACTCTCGGAATCAGTCTGCAGGCAGGCAGGCAGGCGGGCCGAAAGCAAAGTGCGTTGCTCTTTTGGCGTGACGCGAACATCGCGGCGCGCTTACCTCACCGCCCGGGCCGGCCGCCATTTTCGGGTGGGCCGGGTGGGGCGTGGTGGCGGTGGTGGGCCGCGGTGTGGCGGGGCGGGGCGCGGACCCACTACTACCCACTTTCGGTGATTGTCCTCTGGCATGGGTGAACGCGCCAAAAGGAATGTGGTGGATCGCGGCGTGTTGTAGTGCGCAGTGTGGTGCGCTGACCCCGCCGCGGCGCCGCGGCCGGGCCATGACCCCGCGAAATGCGAAGGTCTAGGTTATCCGGCCGCATCTATTACGCCGTGCTGATTCTCAACAGAGGCCGCTCTGTCTCTCTCGCACTCGTTGCGCGTTCCGAAGGGGTGCGAGGGAGACAGAGCGACGGAGCAGCGTTCGGGGTCAGCCTGCAGAGCCTGCACGGCGTTGACACCGCCACTGGTAGGTCGCGGAGAGCGGTATGGAAAGACACGCAGCTCGAACTCCGTCGCTCTGTCTCTCTCGCACCCTTACGGAGAGCTCTATGAGTGCAAGAGAGACAGCGCGACGAAAACGCCCGCCGTTCTGGGCCGAGGATTTGAATGAACCAGCGCGTCGATTTGCCCTTTCTTCATTTGCTTCCTCCTGCTGGCGGTCATCGCCCCCGCCGCGGCGGAGGCGGCCACTCTGGCGGGGAGGCACTTCTTCACACCTGGTCGCGATGTCGCCTGTGACGGGACCAGTCACAGAGAGGTGTTCTAGAGCAAATATTGGATGAAGATGATGTGCTGATGGTGATTATGTGCTGCTGATGGTGATGATGTGCTGATGGTGATGATGTGCTGATGGTGATGATGTGCTGATGGTGATGATGTGCTGATGATGATGATGTGCTGATGGTGATGATGTGCTGATGGTGATGATGATGTTGTTGATGATGTGCTGATGGTGATGATGATGTTGTTGATGATGTTATGTTGTTGATGATGATGGCTTGAAGGCCGGCAACCTTCAACAGTCAACAAAATTCTGTTGTTGTTCCAAAATTTAAACAAAATTTAAACAATTTTCCCCATACTAAAACGATAAAATAGGTCTAGGTCGCCAGGCCAAGTGGTTGGGTGACCTTGTCCCAAGTGATCTGCTCTCTCTCTCTCTCTTAGAGTATCGCCTGTTGATAAGAACTATTGCGTCGATAAGGACGCCGAGATAAGACAGAGATAACGGCCGAAGAAAGTCAGGTGCGAGTCTTTAGGATGTGTCCAATTGTGTGTGTGTGTGTGGGGGGGGGGGGGAGGGCTGTGGGATAACCGAAACTGCGTCCCATAGGAAACTTCCGCGTTGTTTTCGAGTGCATTTGCTCAATTCGTTGTACATACTCGTCCCATGGCTTTATGGACTCATGGAGCGCTCGTCGTAGGTGATGCTGTCTCCATGGAATTTCCCCTCTTGCCCGCACGGTAAAAACGGTACCTGGTTTTCCCAGGAAGCCAATGGTAGAGACATAGGCGATTTTCAGGAAGTTCC